CATTTATCGTGTAGAGTGCAACAGGATGCTGAGATATAATGATGATGATAAAGTGTAGAGCTGTCTGGCTTAGCCATGTTTAATGTGATCATTTTGTGTGTGTGTATATGCTTAAGTGTGCACGGTTGTGCTCGGTGTAAAATTCACAGTGACTAACATGATCAGTGTGGCCAAAATCATGTGTTATATTGCAAATAGGAATTCCAAGATAATAAGACACACTATATTTTAGATAATTTATATAGACCTGAAAAATATTCACATTCTTCTGGCATGAACAGTTGTTGCTGTGTTTTGCAAGAGCCCACCACTGATCCCTATTTTGAAGCAGATGAACCCAGCCCTCTACAGTTTAATAATACCCTCCTGTCTACTCAAAGGTCTCCCAATTGGTCTCTTCCAGTCTGGCCTTTGACTCAAACCTGTATGTATTTCTCATCTTCTCGATGTGTACTACATGGCCTATCCATAACATTCTGGTTTTGATGATCAACCTAATGGTATTTGGCAAAGAAGGCAAAATGTGGTTTAAATGCATGTATTTATGATTTGTTTCAATGGGACTGTCAGCATCTCATACATTGTAGCATGATATGGTAAGATAATCAATGAATAGTGAATTGGAAAGGATGTGACAGGAAGCAGTCATGGCCTGATTTGAGGTACAGTCCCAGCATTTGCCTGGAGGGACAGAGGAAAACCACAGAGCACCTCAATAGGGGTAGATGGTGTCCTGGCAGAGACTCAAATTGAGCAGCTTCTGAATACAAATCAGAAGTGTTACCATTTTCTTGACAGTTTGAAGTGAATCAATAAAAATAAATGACATTTTAATAACCAAACACAGTTACATAAATTAGTCACCAAGTTAGTGAACCATCCAAGGATCACAGCTAGTGGGGTGATGGAACCAACATAAAGTGAGGTAAAATGCTATCCCTTTGTCAGGCCATGGAGGCCCATAAGGTTGTGAAATGTCGAGGCTCCCACATTTTCTAGAGAGTTGGCTCACAGATGGCTGTGAGGTAGCATAAAATGAGGACTTCAAAATTAAAAAAGTAGTTTATTATATATTTTCTTTCATGTCAATAGCCAGTCATGCAAGACAAATTCAGTCTTCAGATTTAAGTGATACCAAGAAATAAAATACTTCTGATGATTTATTTCAGTGTTTTCTTTCTCAGTGACTGTGTTTATGAACTGTATGGTGAGAGAATTGTCAGCTCTGCTTCCATTTTAAAATATCTGTAGAATGAGATTTGATGTTCTCATGGCAGGAAATATTAAGATGACAGTCATTTGTGACATGTTGCTGTGTAGGTCACAGGGTTCTTGCTGCCTTCATGTTCAGGGTAAAAACCAAGGGAGCAAATTTCTCCAAAATAATGCTTGTCTAGCAAAATACATAGCAGCACATCCCATAAGACTGCAATCTTAATCTGTAGACTCATCTCAGAGCTTCTCATAAATTGCTGAGCCATTCAGGCAGAAGAGTATGATACTCCTTCCACCTAGACTGGCTGTCAAGATTCGCATTTCTAACAGACAAGCCTAACAAATTTACAATAAAACTTACCCGGATTACAACAGGTGCTGGAAATGCTCTCTGTTGTTGTTAAGAGAATGTCCAAGCCTTGGACAGATTCCTTCATTAATGGGGTGGGAAAGATTGATGTTCTTAGTGCTGATTTAAGAAAAATTGAGTGAAATCTATATACATTTGAACATTTGCCTCAATTCTGATAGCATCCCCAATCTGTGTGGCCCAACAAGATGGCAGAAGCTTCAGACTTGTTCATATCTGCAACGATTTGCTTAAAGCTCTGACATTATTGTACTCTATATTGCAGTGATCTGCTTCATCTAGAAAATGAGCAAACAGTAATCCTCCCCTGGCTGAAGCCCAAACATGTACTTTTGAATTATGTACTTGTTGGGAGGAAAGGGACATTATTTTACAATAAAAATTAAACCTTCCATTGAAAATGTCATGTTCTACACATTGTGGTTTTGTTAATTGCAAACACATTGCCAATACGTTTTCTAGTAGTTTTCTTGAAAATGAGTACCAGTATCTTTCTTCCCAAAAATTAACACTGATTTTACACTTTTTACTTACTTACTTGCTTTCCACAGGTGTAACATAGCCAGGGTGTGAAGCTGACCACTCACCTCCTACTGGTGCCAAGGTCAAGAAAACGTGGATCTATACGTCCACTCCCCCATATGACTTCTTGGTGTAATGCTTAATTAGTTAAGCACAGGGGCAGCTTTACTTTAACTTTACCTAGCTATTGCTTACACAGATTATACGTGGTAGAGTCATTAAGTTCGTGGAATGTGGTTTTATTTTATCATATTACAAGGTATTCACATACACTTATGCAGATCCACATTGGCCCTCAAAATAGTTGCTGTTGGCCGCTATGCAAGTCTGCCAACGTTGATAAAGCTGTCAAAAACATTGCTGAAACATATTGGCAGTAAATTCCCATGCGACACTTTGTGGTCATTCCACACAGTTATTGACTGTGGTAGTATATGTTTCACATGTGTATGTTCTTGCTGTAATATAAGATGAACCTATGATCCACACACTCATCACAAACCCATAAGGTGTGTGTGTAGAAAGTATAAGTTAAAAGCCATACACTCTTAGCTTCTTCAGTAATTGTTTTCATGCTGACCTTGTTCTCAGGAACAGAGGACGTTGTACATATTGGTAAAGTGACTCACAGGCTGCAGAATCATTCTGAACATTTTAAAATATCCAAACACTGATTCTGGGAATCTCAAGTTATGTTGCACTATTTTTGAATGAATCATTAAAGTTGATGATGCTTAGCAAATAAATTTGGTTAGTTCCAGTTTTGAAATTGCTAGTGAACTATAGTTCTCCTAACGACTTCTTTCACAACAAAATGTTAGGTTCTGAAACAAACAAAAGTTCACTTATGTTTAGAAGATCGTGCGTCCATACGGTTGTGGTTTCTTGAGGGCTGATCGCAAGGGATAGTCATGTTGGTTTGGCTCATGCTTTACTGGGCGTCCCAGTGGGGGACTGTAGTCTGGTTGGGGTATGGGCAGAGGCGCCACTGGTGCCACTGGAGTAGATACTGGTGTTGCAACACGAGGGAGTATTTTAGTGGACTCTGGAGTACCATAAAGTGAATGGGGCCAGTTGTTTTCAGCGAATTGCCAAGGGTTTCGCTGCTTTTGACCCACTGTTGGAGACTGAATGTCCCACGCTGATATTGGCTCTTGCTGGAATGATGGGTTTTGCCTGAAAAAATAAATCAGATTGCTCTATTCACTGATTGCTCCAGCTATGCAATATCAATGCTGAAAGGTTTGAAGGCAGTGTAGGGGTACAACACTTATAAGTAGGCCTCTACTCCCCACCTCTCTTGCACAAGCTCTCTCTGGTGTCATAAATGAGGTTCAGAGAAATTAGTCAATGAGGTAAAATAATTTAATCTGATGTGGAAATGTCCCTTTCTCATTCATAAATTCATGGAGCAAAAATATTCCATCTATACAATGTGGAGGTCATTACTGCATTCACAGGAGGTCTGCACTGAACTGTTCTCAGACACACAAAACCATTCCAATCTGATTTCCTTAAGATCCAGCTTAAAATTCCTCCCACCTTTACCTAGGTCTCCCAAATGGTCTCTTCCTTTCAGTTGTTCCAACCATAACTATGTATGCATTTCTCATCTCTGCCTTGCAGACTACATGTTCCACCCAGCTCATCCTCATTTTCCCAGCAATATCTAATGAAGAATACAAATTAAGAAGTTTGTGAGTATGCAATTTTTACACCTTTCTGTTCTCAATTAGGTTCAGATATTCTGCTCTGCATCCCTTCTCTAACATCTGGTATGAAGGAAGTGTCACAGTATTTCAAATTGAGGCACTGTAAGACTACTTTTAAAATCTAATTTTCTTAATTTGTTAACAGGCTGAAATGACCGTTGTGGTTAAATCCAGTTTAAACCCTTATTTGGTTAAGAGGAGTTACAAATATTTGGGGCTAGACACACTGTGTGGTAAAGATGGATGTAGCATATCTTAGTCCGGGTAGAAATCTGCAATTTGAGCCTGTGCAAAGGACTGTGTAAAAAGAAACTATATAGGAGACTTCAGCCAGGCAACTTTGAAGTCCTTGAGGCATCAAGAATAATGTTGAATCTGGTCTGGGAATGTCAACAGGAAATTTGTGCCCCATCCAGTAGGAACAAGGTAACACTACCCTGTGTCCCTGGCCACACTGGAATTCTGGGCAATGAGGATGGAGATGCCTTGGCTAGAATTGGATTGAGAAGTTAATTTCATTGTTGGGCCCTGCCATAGCTCAAGCAGTTAGTAGCTGGCTTCCCACCATGGCGACCCGGGTTTGATCCCAGGTCTGGTCAAGTGGAATTTGTGGCGGACAAAGTAGTGCTGGGGCAGGTTTTCCCTGCCAATCTCCATTCCATCAATTGCTCCACAATCACCCTCACCTATCATCTGGGGCTGGTAAAATAGGCCAGAAGTGGCTGCAGTACAAGGGATTTAGTCCCACCCCACTAGCATAAAAAAAATGTCTTTGTCCCAAACTGCAATTCCAAACTCACTGTGTGTTGGTAGGCTTAAGATTAAGGAGTGTCTAATAAAAAACACTCCAAACATTGGGCTGCCACACAGATATGAGACAGTTGAAGCTCTTTGTTGAAGGGCCTTTAATAATGTGCTTGGACAAGGAACATTGTGTGCTGGTCGTTTGGCACTAGAGCTGGTCTGGATGCTGTCGAGGAGAGAAGAATCTCATGTCCCCCCCAAGGTAATCTTGGATATCTGCATGTAGCCTAATAATCTGTATATGTTGGTGTGTAAGGGACAGGGTTAAGAATATATAACTCACTCTTTATATGTGGCTTGAGCCATTTTGACAAAAGGGCTCTAGAAACCCATATCATATAAAATAGATGTTACATCATATGCAGAATTGATGCCACACTGTAATTACAGAAGACCAGTTTATGGTGCTATGACCACTGCTTCAGTTGCATATGAAATACAGGGTGCATCAGAAAGAATGGATGGATATCACAGGGCAATAAAATTGGTAAGGCTTCATCAAATCCAAATTTTATTGTTACCATCAGATTCGCCAATACTTGCAGTTTATTTGTGGAGTACAATATTATCCATATGACGTCCTTGGCTTCTGATACAGATGTTGAGGCGTTTTCTGAAGTTATTCTTCACTCTCGCGGTCATATCTGGTGGAATCGCCGCAATTTCTTCTTGAATCGCTGTCTTCAGCTCGTCCAGTGTATGTAATTGATGTTTATAAACTTCTGCCTTCAAATGGCCCCAAAGGAAGAATTGCAGGGCTCAAGATCAGGTGAACGTGCGGGCCAAGGAATGTCACTGCGATGCAAAATGACTTTAGGTTCACCCTAGGTTGAACCTGTGGCACGAAATGAAGCCACCCACCACAAAATTGTGTTCTGAGTTGGGATCCTATTGCGACGTCCGAGCCGAAATGAGTGCTGAAGGCTCATTGAGTGGCGATCACAGACTCTCTATTTTCCAAAAACGTCTCTACGACGAACACATGCTGTGCACCCGATTACTCCTTGTTACCAATTGAAACTGCATTCTCCCACCGACCCAACAGTTGCCCCCCCCCACTCTACATTCCCCCCGTCGCAGCGTAACGGTCGCTTGAAATCCAACTATCCTTTCTGACGCACCCTGTACTACAGTAGAATTCTGAAAGACATATGATGTGGTGGTATAACCATTAAAATTGATGTGGAGAAAGTGTCCACTACCAACATTCAGATGAGTTAATATTTAGTTTTACTATTAAGTTTATTTTTTTTCATTAGCAGATAGTGGCACATAACCACAGCATTTTAATTGAAACAGCAGCAGCCAGTCAACCATTCTTGCCTTAATGCCTCAGTATTTATTTGACTGAATGTCATGGTTGAAATGTTAACACTCCTTTGCATTCTGAGCGTTGCCTGTTTGAATCTTGACCCAGAGACCAGCTATCCTGAGGTTTATTGTCGTTTCCCAGCCCTCCATATATGTGCTTGTGTAATGCCTCAAATTAGGCTATGACCATTTATTACATATCCTTTCAAATTCGTTATTCACTGATTTGGTGTTACATAGTTTCAGATTGAAAGTGTCATTTAGAAAGTCAAATAAATACCAGTGAGTACTAGTATTATTCTGAATGGTTTTCCAGTGGCACTTTTAGCACTACTTCCTGTAACAAACAATCCACAGAGCTCTCATTTCTCTGTCAAGTGGATGCTATCTAGTAATCATATGCCTCAAGGCCAGGTTTAACATTACCTTCCATTTAGGTAAGGTTCTTCTGGAGGTGAAATGGATTGGTGACATGACAATTCTGCAGGCTCCTGTAACATAAAAGGAAAAAGTAGAATTATTCCTATGTTTTAAGAATGCCATGAAGACATGAGAGAGTGGAGATATAGCTCTGCACGTTCCTAACATCGGCATCAGATTGCGATGAGTGGATATTTTCACATCCCATCTGCTTTGTCCTAGTGAAAGAGCTCATGGTACCCACTAAATTGGAGCAGGACGCTGAATGGACCTCAAAGTCTGGACATTGTAGAGGAGAGAAAAATCTTTGCATCTTCTTGGAACTGGAGCACAATTGTCTACTTGTCCAGCCCATTGACTAGTCACTATACTGACTGAGCTATTCTGGCTGCAAACATTTACAATTAGTCTGCCTCTATTTGAGAAGTCTGTCTACATCCTGTCTCCATTAGTGTTTGTATTTCATATTTACTATTCAGACTTCAAAATTTAAAAGTCCAGTTGTAAAGCCTAGGGACACCGGAAGCATGCGTCCCATAAGATATTGGATATGGGGGATACCACCCCAATTACATGGTCCTGGTACAGTCACCTATGCTAAACAGGTTGAAGGGTAGAGGCCAGAGGCAAAGCAGCTGCTGATCCTCCAGGTATAGTCGTGAGGCTAACAACCTCACCCCATATAAAAATGTAAATTAACCTTTAAATACTTTCTTAAATGGCCACTGCTGTTGGGCGTTTATATCTTCGTTGCTTTTTGGCATTTTAAATACTTTCAAGTAAAAGTACTATAGGTAAAGTTGTCCCTGTGCTTAAAACCAATTAAGCACTATGTCATAAAGGCTCATGTGGGAGTGGATGTATAGATCCACCTTTACTTCACCTCAGCACTAGTTGGAGGTGAGTTGTCAGCTTCACGCCCCGGCCGCCTTACCCCCGGAGAAAGAACCCCCGGTACCCATTAGATAGGAGGCTGGGTGGGCCCCAGAGCCGGTTTGGATGACATGGAGAAGAGAGAAATCTTACCCCTACCGGGACTCGAACTCCGACCTCTCTGCCGTCCAGCCCGTAACCAGTCGCTATACCGACTGTGCCATCCCGGCTCCTAAATACTTTTAAGTGCTTTATTTAAAATCCTGTATCTAATACAAATTTTAATAAAGGAATGGAATTAACTTTGTTTTTATCAGCAAACAACTTAATGTCACATATTTTAACGTAAGATTTGAAAATGTTTAAGCAAAAAGGATACTCCTTATATTTTTATTTTTGTTGCGTATTGTACAAAAATGTTTTCCGCTTCACCACAAAGTGGTTTTGCATTGTAACATCGTCCCTTCTTGAAGTTCTCGAAACACTTGACATACTTCCGCTGTCTCTGGTGCCTTAAGACATCTGGAACTACTACAAATCTTGTTTTATTATTATGTTCCTAAAGTTCACATTTCAGATACTCGAACCTGTTGACTAGAGGGATATAAAAGTGAAAATATAGGAATTCACGAGAGATTGGAGAGAAAAATATTTTTTTTTTCGTACGTCAGTGCTAAGCCCTTCCATTGCAGCTGCAAGGAAATATTGCCCTTCGTAGCTTTCTATGGTCGCATACAAATGTTTGTATTGTAGGTGAGATACAGAGTGCAATCAGTTTTCTTTGAGATTATAGTGAATTCGAATATCGTAGCATAATTGGTCATACCGGGTCATACAATGACAATGAAACGTCGTTCGGAACGTAATAAGCGCAAGATACGTGAGGTGAGACTGCATTCTCGGGTGCTTCGAGATGCTAAGGCGTGATTAACTTGGAAGACCCGCGGGAAAGGTGGTGTGAAGCCTATATATACATGAAGAAGATAAAAAAGAGGTATGTTCTTTGAATTTTACTACATTTAAAAGTAATTATTTAGAATTGTATGAGCGCTTCTACCAGCGGCTTGTGCGCGTGCTTCAAATAAAAAAAATACTCTGTGGTTTTAGTCCGCAAGCGTGCTATACCGACCGAACGACGGCCGTGCTTCAACTAGTCACGTTTAAGTGCCGGAATATGTGTATTTGACAACGATGATTGTACCGTTCACTGTACCAATATGTGTACTTCGGAAGTTAAAGGTTAATGTACATGCATCCTAAGCTTTTTCTGTAATTCCTGGAATGTTATGACCTCACAAATCTAGGTTTTCTACAGTGATCTAAAATCCTATACAACAGGAACAGAGACTTCATGTTAGTCTCTCACAATTAGACCAGTCCACAGATGGAGCTATTTCAGGGTGCTAAGTGTGTTTCCCATACTGAACATTAGACTTCACTGAGTCAGTGCAATGGAATTAGTGTGTATAAAGGTACTACCTTATGAGATGTGATGCTATGTACCAGTGTTCCTTTGAAATGCCAGTAAACTCCTCACATCACATCCCAGTAGATAGTACATTTCGTTATCACTGCTGTGAGAACCTGAAATCCAACTTACAAATTGAAAATTCTTATAAACCTAACCATTTTCAACTCTCATGCCCATGAACCAGAAAATTTCGTCTCTTCTGTGAATAACCTCTTTATCATTTCAAAAATATTTCATATTTTTCTTGGATGATTGTTTTGTTGTTTGCAACCTTATCCAATTTTCATGTTTCAACTGACTGGGCGTTTTCATCACTTTACTCAGTACTTCTGGGCAAGTGCCAGGAGAGTACCTCAAATTAAGCCATGACCACTTCTTTCTATATGCTTTTGAATTTAATAATAACTATCACTGGATCATTTGATGCTATGCAGATTTCAGTTACAACAAATATCATCAGATAAACTAGAAACAAGATAATAATCATATTTCATGAACCTCAATTATGTTATTTCGAGTCAAACCCTAATTTCTTAGTTGTTCAGTGTAATCCAAGCTAGTCACTACACTGGCTGAGCTATCCTGTTTCCACCTTCAGTGTGACATTCAAAAGAAGGAACATAAATATGCCTTAAACAAATGACAACCCCACCTGTAAATATTTCTTTATGAGTTCTTTGAATGTATATTGCAGAGATCATACCTCTCCAACTGTCCCACTATCCATTCATTTTCAAGACTGTTTGAGAGATTTTGGTAAGATTTGGCATTTGCAGTCCAAACTCAAAGCTATTAGGTACATTTCATTTTGGCTGGTATTGGCCAGTATAAACCTACATTTTTGTGAAGAACAGATCTAATTTTATAAAATTCGGGAGAAATAGCTTGTCATAAGACAAATGGTACTAAGCCCTGTGTTAAGATCTATAGCTTCTGTTTGAAGCATTTTTATGCACACTGTACATTTAAAAACCAAATATCTTTGCATAATTCGGTCTGGAAAACCGAAATTAATGGCTGTGGGGATTTGCTGCGCTGACCACGGGACACCCTCTATCCACAAAAGTTGGCACTAAACTTCGCCGACATGCGGCAGTCGCTCAGTCCGTTTAGTTCGCTTGTGGACTAAAATCACGGAGTGTTTTTTTCTTTGCATAATTAAGCATTACACCACAAAAAACATATGGGGCAATAGAGATATAGCTTCAAAATTTTCAACCTTATCACTAGATGAAGATAATGGTCATGCCTCAGCTGCTTTACCTCGAGGAAGGACCCTCTCTACCCACTGGGTAGGAGACTGGATATGCCCCAGAGTCAGTTTGGCCACTGTGGAAGAGAGAATAATCTCTTGCATATGCCAAGAATTGTACCTCAATTCTTTGGTAGTCCAGTGCATAGCCTGATCACTATAGTGACTGATTTGACCCAGCTCTTTCATGAAGAAGAATTATTTATATATCCATGCAGTGTAACATATATATTGGAATTTATGAATGTGTGTATAATGCAGTATGTGTACTGTTCCAAGGTTTTACCTCCTTCTTGCACTTATGGAAGTATAGCAATTATATCTAGGAAATAAGTGCCACTACATATTTAATTCAAGAAGACAGAGTTCTTAGGGTATAAACAGAACACCTGGTATGGAGGATGTACCACTACCAAAATTAAGAATGGGCTTTTTATACTGTGATCTTTGGTGAAAAAAGTGAAGTTATTTTTGGTACAACAAATCAAAATTTCATTCATAAAGAAATTAAGAACGCTTTAAAGTTTGGTAATGCATGCTGTCATATAGTTTGGAATCTTTGTCCTGCTGTCTAAAAACATAAAGCTTGAAAGCTGCAGAACAATTTTATGTAATGTTTTGTATGGGTGTGAAACTTGGTCTCTCACATTATGGCAAGTTTTCCAAAATGTGGGGAGCACCCTTCACCCTTTGGGGGAGAAAACTCTCAGTATTCTGGTGAAGTTATATTGTAAAACTGAATTCATTATAATTCTCAGACTACCATAGATCAATTGTTTAATTGCTTCTGCATAATTTTGAATAATACACTTAATTGATAAAGCCTAAACTGTGTTCATTTTAAAAGTGGAAAACTGAAAAAGCTATTCTTCATAGGCTGAGACAAAGTTAAGAAATTTTGGGGGATGGGGCAATATGAAATCTGTGCTAAGCTAAAGGGTGGCCATTATACAAAGTTTACAAGGCATTGTATTAAGGGAAGACAATGGATTGGGGTTGTTTGAGAATGGGCAGCTGAGGAAAATATTTGGACCTCAAAAAGAGGAAATAACAGGCAGATTGAGAAAATTACATAATGAAAAGTTTCATAACTTCTTCTCTGCATAGAATAATATTAGGATGATGCCATCAAGGAGAATGAAATGGGTAGGGAATGTAGCATGCATGGGACAGATGACGTGTGAAAAATCTAGGAGTATACAGGGTATCCCAAAAGGAAAGGTGAATATTCTGGGAGGTCATAGTATTGGACCTTCTAAGAAAAAAATGTGTATATGTACATGTGTCATATTTGGAATGGTTTGTGAGATAGAAATATTTCACTGTACAGTTCCAAAATTGTGTGTAAGAAACAGGTATTAGGTACTGCTTCTATTACCAGTATTTATTGTTCAAGGGACAACGTTGGTACAGTTCACCCAGTATAAAACATTTTTTAAAATTCCACTGTCAACATCAATGCACTTTGCAACTTGTGTGAGGGCATGGCACGTTCATGTGAGTGCAACTTGGCGTTCCTTTACGCGGGCGATAACATCCATCATGTGATTGAGCAAGTTCCTCTTGTGTATCCACTTTTCTTCTATTCACTTTATTCTTCATCCAACCCCATAAACAAAAATCTAACGGGGTTAGGTCTGGAGATCTTGGTGGCCAGTTAATGGTATTGCCATAACCGATCCACCAATTAGGGAAGTGTCATTGAGATGTTGCATCATGAATCGGGCGTAATCAGAAGGGGATCATGCACTTATATGATTTTTTGCCTAAAATGACTGATGCTATGGCTATGGCCTCCCTAGAAATGAGTACCAGGAATATTCTTGGAATGTTCTTGGGGGGTAAAGGGCAGCTGGCACGTAAGGCTGACAACCTTGCTGCCATCTATGAGCCGATTGTCTAGAAAATGTGGATACCTCAACATCTCACAACCCTATGGACCTCCACGGCTTGTTACAGGGATACCTTTACTTTTTTACTTACTTTTACTGTTACCTCCCAGAATATTGACCTTTCCTTCTGGGGCACCTTGTATAAAATGAAGAAACCATGTGGAAGATTTTGGTGTGGTTGGAAAGATAATATTAAAGTGGATTTTATAGAACTATAGCGGAAAGGTATGTACTGGATTCTTTTGGCTTAGGATAAAGACATTAATGGGTTCTTATGAACATAGGTTCCAAAAATGTAGTGAGTTTCTTGACTAACTAAGCAAGTATTAGCTTCTCAGGAAGCACTCTTGTTCATGGAGGTAATTGGTTCGTCTCGAAATGAACATTTAGCTCTGAGCACATAATAGTCAGTGCTATAGTTTGACTGTCACCTGAAAAGTCATCTGTATAGTTAATTCACGGTACCTTCTTGTTTAGTTGCCATGCAGCGACACCAAGGTAGATCACCAAACCCACATTCATTATCCAGAGCACAAAGCCACGGGCACACATTATCATCAAAAAGATTGGTACAAGGAGGATGTTTGTCTGACAAGAGTTCTGTATGTCTGTCATTCTCTGAAACAGATAACACAAGTTTGTCAGGGTGTATAGTTTACCAGGGGTATATTAACACACCTTGTTATCATTATCATCATCATTATAATTAACTGAGAAGTTTGAACAACTGAAAAAAGTGCCATACCTAATTATTATTATTATTATTATTATTATTATTATTATTTAAAAAATAATATATTTGTCTCCAGTATGGCCACCCCTGTTCTATACTCATCATGACATTGTAATCTTACTTACTTATGGAGCTAAGCCCTTTTTGAGGAAAAGCCAAATCTGCAGCTATTCAACAATTTCCCAGCATTTTATGGAACACGAAGGTGCATTACAATGTTCACAAGAGCTCTCGACTGGTTCCCATCCTAAGCCAGATAAATCCAATCCATAGCATCCCATCCTACCTCTCTAAGATCCATTTTAATATTGTTCACCCACCTACACCTTGGTCTTCCCAATGGTCTTTTTCTTCCTGGCTTTCCCACCAGTATCCTATATGCATTCCTCTTCTCCTCATTCCTGCCACATGCCCTGCCCACCTCATCCTCCTTGACTTGATCATTCTAATTATACTTAGAGAAGAGTAGAAGTTATGAAGGTCCTCATTATGCAGTTTTCTCCAGCCTCCTGTCACTTCATCCCTCTTCGGTCCAAATATTCTCAACATCCTGTTCTCAAACACCCTCAGTTTATGTTCCTCCTTTAATGTCAGAGACCAAATTTCACACCCATACAGAACCACAGGCAAAATTATAGTTTTGTGTATTCTAATTTTTATGTTTTTGGACAGCAGATAAGGAGACAAAAGGTTCTGGACTGAATGGTAGATGACATTGTAATCTAGAATGCAAAAAAATATTTTTTATGGAATTTGTAATTGCAGTTATAATATGACAGTATACATTTTCTCATACTAAATTATGATGAATCTTCTGTTATAATTATGAAAGAAATAAGGTTCTCTTTAAACATCATGGAACTGTGCCTGGATAGGGCAGAGGCAGCTCTGTGAAAAGAGGTAGCCATGTGACACAGAGAATTGGTGATAAGTTATCCAATTCTTGCATCAAATGATGCAGCAGATTTAGTTGAATATGAAAATACTTATAACCCGTCTTTTGGAAACCTTGCATGAGCAGTTCTTGCAGCAAGCCCTTCTTTATTGGTAATTTTTAAATTTAATTTGCCTCTTGATACTTAGTGAAGTGTTTGATGGAGCAAAGTGTGTTCCTTCCTTACCTGGACACTGTTATAATCCACCCCAAAAGCCACTGTGCCTGCAAAGTCAATCGCTGAGACTGCACCTGTGACTGCTACCCATCCAATTAAAATACTGGAAGTGTACTTGGAGAGACGGAAATCTGAAATGGGAACGGCTTTCAAGTTTATGTGTTTCACTGGCATGTTGCCACTGTGAGTGACTTGACGATGTCAACTTCACTCTTTACATTCTGTTTGCACAGTGCATCTAGTGGTTAATAAAAAATGCTCTTTTTATTGTTTTCTTTATAAAAACAGTTTCACTTGAATAATAGGATATTATCTTCATGAAGATATTAAATGTAAAAAAAAATGTAAAAGTTTTCCCTGGGCTTAATTAATTAAGCACCATGCCATGCAGATGTATGGGGAGTGGAGGCATAAGCTCCACCATTCTCAACCTCGGCACTAGATGGAGGTGAATTCAAGAAAATACCTCAGAGGAGAATTAGAGAAGAATTTTGTTAAAGCGTTTGCATAGAGCAGAGTATAAGAGTTTGCAGCATGTTTATTTTCGGGCCATCTGTATGAGGCGGAAGCGTGAACCTATTTTGTCGTACATTTGTGCGTTTAAAAGTGCGATGCTATCATTGCTTAAATTAGGAGAGAGATTTCTTATCGTGATGCATGCCCATTTCTTTCAACCTGAACTGTGTTCCAGATTACTCCTGTACACCAGTTAACTGTATGGGGTTTTATATTGTCATACGTTGTATTGTCTTACTTCCATTTTGTATAACAGTGAACTCTTTTGGCTGTGAGATTTGAGATGTTCATGACGGTGAATAATGTTTAACTTATCTGAAAGCGTAATTCCTCTTTAATATTGTATGAATATATTTATCACTGTTTTGTTCAGATGACTTTCAACACCAACATTTTCGTCACAACCAAAAGAAAATTACCATCCTGTGGAACATGACGCCATGTATTATGGTAGGTTACTATCAGGGTGCCCTGAAGATGGGGGCAGCAGGTACCTCCAATACGTAGTACATTTCTACTGAATTACTCGGAGTCACATCTAACAAAGCAATAATCTTCACTTAATTTAAAATCTAAATACATTTGATAGTTATTAAGCTGAGGGAAACGTGTATGTGTATATATATAAGGGGCACGCGGTAGCATAGTGGTTAAGGTACTATGCTACAAGTCGGAAGGTCGCGGGTTCATTGGATTTTTTTTCAATTGATCTAATCCTTCCGGCCGCACTATGGCCCTGGGGTTCACTCCGCCTCTAACAGAAATGAGTACCAGGAATAAAATAAATAATTTTCCTGGGGAGTAAAGCGCGGCCGGCGCGTAAGGCTAACAACCTTACCGCTATCTTTGAGCCGATTGTCTAGATAATGTGGGACCCTCAACGTCTCACAACCCTATGGGTCTTCACGGCCTGTTACAGGGATAGCTTTACTTTACTTTACTTCTTTATATATAGGTTATATAATTGTATAGAAATCATTGATTGACAGAAAATCATTGAAGTAGTCTCTGTTAAATCAGACATCGAAAGCGCTCTGCTACCCTTCTGCAATACTTGCCACTCGATATAACTCATTACATGGAGGATAAACCTGTCCATTTCATGACAAACCAGTGCCTCATTTGGTAGTATGACATTCTAAATTCGTCATAAAATTAACTTGTTTGCCACATTCGCTTTGAGGTCCTGAACCCAGGACTTTGCTGGCAGGAATAACAGCAAGAACAAGAGAAAGAACAGGAAGAGACGGATGAGAAGCAGAAGAGTGATGAGGAGGGAAGAAAGGGAAAAGGAGAAGTAAGAGAAGTAAAACGAGGTGTAGGAAGGGAAGGAAAAAGAAAATGAAGATAAGAAGAAAGGAGGAGGACTGAAGTAAGTTGAGAATAAGTAAAGAAGGAGATGAAGGGAAGCTGAAGAGACAGAATGATGGAGGAATAGATGAAGAAAATGGAGGACAAAGGACATAGAAAATGCAGAAAGTAAAGGTGGAGAAAAGGTGAAGAGACTGGAGGGGAAAGAAAGAGACGAAGAAGGAAGAAGAGGAAGCGGAGAAGAAGAGAAGGGATAAAGAGGTTTTAAAAAAGTATTACTTTAACGTCTGAAAAGTATAACATTTGTCCACAAATGGCTCCGTAATGGATGGTAAATTATGTCTGGATAGGTTTACCCTACCTAGAAAACATGCTTAAACGAAATGGGCATTTTAAGAGCCACCCCAATTGTGTATTGGCCCTTCTTGTTTAATTTGCACTTAATTAGTGTAACTAGCAAATGCAATATAATGTACGGAGATCGCTATCAGTGGTCAGAAGGCAGCGCCGCCTACCGTAAAGCAGAAGCCCAGAAGTCACAAGCCATATCACGCTTGTAGAAAAGTAGATGGACGTCCATACAGCGACTGTGCCTGAGCTCATAATATCTTCAGTCTGAAGAGCTGAAAGAGAACAGTGGTAAAACTAGTAATTTATATTTTGTGGAATTTGTGGGGAAAGCAATGTTAGAGAAATATGAAATTTATATTACATATTTGTCGAATGGAATATCATTGATTACCACGCCAGACATTGGAATGGGGTCCAGTAGGGCACCTTTGAAGGGACATGACACGACGTTCCTGGAATGAGGATAATGGGGGGAAAAATGAGAGAGCGAAGCGTGTCTGAGGAAGATGTAGGAAATCGTGATAGATGAAACCTTTACACCAGAAACCCCTGAAGGGAAAAAGATGTCGGATATTATTATGACGTTGACAATATTACGACATTCTGGAGAAAATAACCTAGTAACACTGTAAAATATTAGACACATTAGAAAGATAGGGAAGAATATTGTGGCGTGCCGCTTAGGGCCGGAATATTTGGAAGCAGAACGCATCCATTGCTTACAACGGCTAGCAATTCCTAGGCAGCAAAGCGTATGAAATCTTTGCCCCGGAAATGAAAGTCTAACAGTTGGGTTTCCACCGTTACAAACGAATTTTTTGTTAAACAGTTCGTAACTCTGATTGCGGCATCACAAAGTAGTCGATGATGACCAGGTCATTGTGATCTAACCATTGGTATTGATATGGAGGAAATGCTGTTACTAATGTTTGGTCATTGGATTTTGTTCGAGGTGTGTTAAATAACATACACCATAGGCAGAAGAAAGTCGAAATCACGAGAAACCTCGGTCAAGATTTCAATTCTACTACTACTACTACTACTACTACTACTACTACTCGTAACTGTAGTTACATTGTTTGAAGTACATTTGCACCAGCGTCTCTCTGAATATATTTATCCAATTTGCAGTTATGTCCACGTAGATGACTTCGGCGTACACGAGAATTCCGAGTAGAGACAGGATGCCCCAAGTTAAGGCCTGAAACTACAGCAGAAACAGAGTCAGACAGATGGTATTGCATATCAGCACTGGGTCACACCGTTAGACGCTGTATCAGCAGTGGGTTAAATTGTCAGGCACAATATGCAACGTTGGGTTACATCTTTAGAGTCAGTATGAACATTAGATGAGATCGTCAGACACAATGTCGACATTAGGTCAGGTCATTATATTCTATATCAACAGTGGGTAAGATTTTACGTTATGTCAACGCTGGGTAAAATCGTTACCCGCTATACCAACACTGGAATTGATCTATAGAAGCTACTGTGACATGTAGGCCCGTTTCTAGGAAACAATTCGGGACAAATCATGTTTCAGTGTAAACGAACATTCAACAGGTATTTCCTTGGATAGGAACAAGCAACGAACACCTGCTAGGATACCGCTACGCTATACGAGTATAAGCGGCCTTTCAGATAGGTGATTCATTCGTGAATAAGAGGTGATTTCGTAAACCAACAGGCAGTCGCAGTAGAAAGGAGAGCCAAGAACAGATTCATTCGTAAACATGGACCAAGTCAGTCACAGTAGAAGACAGGCTAGAAAACAGTCGTGGTCCAGTCAGAACGGAATGAGTCTTAGGCAGTTACTGATTGTGAGTTGTTGTAGTTGATTGTGATTAAAAGAGATTGTAAAGAAGGCGTCAATAAATCCAGTCTTCCAATCCAGAATCCGTTATTATTAGTCACGAAGCCATAAACACGTGACACTCTGTAACACTGGATAAGGTCGTTGGATACAGTATCAACACTAAGTTAGATCATTAGGCGTAGTATCAACGTTGAGCAGGATCATTAAATGCTATATCGACATCGGATCAGATCGTTAGACGCAATATCAGCAGATCGTTAGATACGGTGTCAATACTGAGTCGGATCGTTAGATGTAATACTAAGATTGTGTCAAATCGTTAAACACAGTGCCAAGTGCCATCTTATGGAGGTATAGCTCCCGTTTTTCGTACTATTCAGGAATAGATGGAGGTGAGTGGTAGCATCACGCAACGCCTGCACTTCTCTGATGAAAGAACCCCCGGTACCCATTGGATAGAGGGCTGGGTGAGCCTCAGAGCCTCTCTGCTACAAGTTCGTCTAGTCACTATATTCAGTGAGATACTTGATTCATATAGCAATATAATTAGTGGTCGAATTCCAAGATTATACATGTTCATTCATTAATTAATTCATTCATCAGTGGCTGTACAGCCCTTTGTTGGGCCCTGGCCTCCTCTTAAGTTTCATAATCTTTGTATACAGAAGGCAGGACTCCTTGGACGAGTGATCAGCCCGTCGCAAGGCCGCTACCTGCACACAGAACAACAAAAACAATAAATGCATACACACCTTGAGTGAGATTCGAACCCACGATCCCAGCGTTCGAGGGACGAAGATAGTTCATGCTTTCGACCGCGTGGCCACTGTGATCGGCCAGATTATGTATATGTACAAATATGAATTTTGGAGATGGTTCGTTCTGTGCACTAAATGGTGTACTGATGGTTTATGCACGTAGGCGTCTTAGTGACTGGAAAATCCCTTATTCCCCAAACTCTTTCATTTTTGTGCAGTTTTAGAATATTTCAAAATTTTCTACATCCGAATTTTGTGTAGGCCTATTAAGAACAGTTAAATGGAACCTGTTATTCTGTTTCCCACACGTCGACGTCTCGATTCCAACCAATTCTATAAAATCTGCAATTTTACGAAACGATGCATTGGATTCTCTGGCTATTCACGCGCACTCGAAAGAATTAGACTGTAGGATTTGAGGTTCTCACAGCAGTAAAATTTAGAGGAAAGCTGTCCCTGTGCTTAAATAATTAAGCACCACGTCATGATGGCGTATGGAGGAGTGGATGTATAGATCAACATTTTTTTTTACATCGGCATTAGCCAGATGTGAGTGGTCAGCTTCACGCCCCGGTCGCTTTACACCCGGGGAAATTATTCCCGGTACCCATTGGATAGGAGGCTGGGTGGACTCCACAGACAGTCTTGACGACATGGAGAAGAGAAAATTCTTGACCCCACCTGGACTCGAACGCCGACCCCTCGGTGTCCAGCCCGTAGGCAGTCGCTATACCAACTACGCTGTCCCGGCTCTTCCTCTAAACAGTGGTTATGAAGATATAAGGCCGTGTAGTTTGTTGAAAGTCAACCGACATTTCTAAGGAACGTATCGTCTCCATCTTCAGGGTCGAAAATTAAGCCGAGCAAAAAACCAGCGTCTAGTTGCCACCTGCTTTCGCTCTAGTTTCTTGCTCGGCTTATTCTTCTACCTTGAAGATGGAGGCGATGCGTATCTCTGAAACGTCGGTTGACTTTCAACGGGCTACATGGCATCATAACCCAGACGATATTGCTGTTTCACGTAACAGGATAATATGCTTACATTTTATAAAGGTTTGTTCAACGTGTATCGCTTTTGTATAAATGTATATAAGGTTATGTGATAAGAATCGCTTTGTGCAGTACCTATCGTTTTTGTGTAAACACCTACGAACATTAACATGAAATCTAAAATAGTATAGATTAAAACTGAATTAATTTAAAAGTCGTTAATAAAGCAATTACATTTGTTTTACTCTCAATTTTAACACAATCCGAGTGAATCAGAGTAAAGTAAAACACTGATTAGTGATGGGATGCGTCTATTAACACTTTTCGTGTTATGAACCAAGTATCTCTGTTAGAAATCAGAGATGTGTAACCTGTCAATGCAAGAAATCTCCTGTTATCAGTTGCGAGAAATCCATGGCTCTTCATCAACGAAGAATACATTAAAAGAATAATGACTGCCTTTCCAGGCCGTCTCCCTCCCCAGTACCAATCTAACCTCTAAACAATGCATTCCGCTTTCACAAACGGCGCTTTGGCGATCGAGTCATGGTTCTATAACAGTTAGGCCTGTTTCCAGTGAGAGTGAAGAGCCACTGTCTGTAAAATTTAGAGGGACAGATTTAGTCAGTATAATAGTAACGTGTGTGAAATCGCCTCCATTAATATTTACTTTCTTTTGCATTTTGATCTTATTTGTTTGGTATTTCTTTTATTGCTAGTGGGGTGGGACCAAGTCCCTTGTACTGCGGCCACTTCTGGCCTGTTGTACCAGCCCCAGATGATAGGTGAGGGTGATTGTGGAGCAATTAGTGGAATGAAGATTGGCAGGGGAAACCGAAGTACTCGGAGAAAACCTGCCCCAGCGCCACTTTGTCCACCACAAATCCCACTTGACCAGACCTGGGATCGAACCCGGGCCGCCGCGGTGGGAAGCCAGCGACTAACCGCTTGAGCTATGGCGCTGCCTATTTGTTTGATATGTTTGAAAGTTACGAATATGACGTTGCGTGGAGCCAGCTGGAAACCCATCAGCCAGTTAGGTATCAGCACAATGCACAGTACTTCTAAGGTGACTTATGTAACTGGAATGAAGGTAGGACACATTCTTCAACTTTCTCAAACCCATGGGGTTATGCTGCACAGTAAATTAGTACACGTTTGCGCAGGGTGAATTTATCACAAAAGAAGTTTTACAATAATATTAAAATGATTCTTAGAGATATAGGATGGGGTGATGTTGACTGGGTTGATCTGTCCCAGGATTAGGGACCAGTGGAGGGCTCTTGTGAACACGGTAATGAACCTTCGGGTTCTATAAAATGCTGGGAAATTCTTGAGTAGCTGCAGATTGACTTCTCCTCAAGAAGGGCTCAGCTCCGTAAGTAAGTAAATACTGTCACAACTAAGTAGTCCGTAACTGAAGGGAAGTGGAAGTCAAACAAAATGGTAGTAGAACCTTCAAGACATTTCAGACAAATGGACTCGCCATTTTTTACGCAGCCGAAAGCCCACAGAAAATGTTCGATACTTACGGAGCCCAGTGATCCGGCTGCAATGCCTAAAGGCCTCAGTAGAGGTGAATTAGCGGCCATCTTGCACCGGTGGTCAATCGAGTAGCTTACAGTACAGACTGTGTTTATCTCTAGAAAGCCTAAATATCTTTTTGTATCAGTATTTCACTACACAAAAGTTATCTACCCGTATTCACCGTTCTAAAGTTTGCTCAAGATTGGTTGCATAGACTCCTGATACTGCAGCTCCTATTGTTAACGAATATATCACGAAGTAGCACAGAGTGACGTCACCACGGTGATATCGACTGTCAGTACATATCGCTGTTAAACTGTGATTATCTTAAATAATCTAGCAGCGGAGATTAGAATTGTTTCGAAAGAATGTGCTAATGAAAGTGCGGAAACTGACAGATATTACGGGGGGCTGCATTCTCGAACAATAAACGTAATTCCTGGATATTCCCTTGTCATAAATAAAAATAGTAAGTTCTCCTTTGCCATGACACAGCTCAGGCTAGACGTTGGATTCTCGCCGCAGAGCGTTGGATTATATACTGACTTACTTAATATGAGATTCGTTGTAGACGAAGAACTCTAGCAGGTCTTTCTCCGAGTTTCTCTGTTTTCCCCTGGTAATCATCAGTCCTGCATACTCACCTATCATCGTGCCACGGGATTTCGGATATCCCTCACCAAGTGGCACATTATGACATCCTCGGTTTTAAGTCTGGGCCTCTCTCTCTCCCGACACACTGAAATTTACAGAGCAAGGAAAGGGAGTAAGCGATTTTCCTACTTCAAAGCGATCTTCTTCCCATCGTGCAATGTTTTTTTTTTTTTTTTCACAAATGAAGCTCATGGCAGTATAATCAGTTCACATGCAACGTGCAGGAAATGGCGGAGCCAGAGTCTACATTAAACTGCGGGAGACTTGACGTTTTCACAGCGGCGACTACAAGAATTGTTGTATTCGAAAGCATGACGCTTTCCTCTTCTCGGTTTCATCCTCCAATCATCTACACAGAGGCGGCACGTATCTTCGAAATGTTGGGGAATATCTACCAGATTTTGTACCGTCACATCCCATAAGATTGTAGTCTATATTAAGCTTAGCTTGAAGTTTAGTTTAGAAATACGAGTTAGTAAGAAACCTTTTGGTACCACATGCAGATTTATTCAATAAATGATGGATTTCGCCCTACATGTTTCTGTTATTCAGGCATTCTTAGACATGTCCAACAAAATAAAAGGAAGAAGGCAGTCTTCTGGGATTTGGAACCCTGTGTATGTGGTGTTAATCGACGTGTCGGAAGGAACGTATCGCCTCCATCTTCAGGGTAGAAGGAAAAATATAAGAAATCCGCAGGCTACGAGACCGTGAGAACCGGTAAAAGCAGACCAGTCTGCTAAGGATGGCCTAATCTTTAAAGCTTATAGGACGGACTTGGTAATTTTCTGGTTAAGGCTGCGCAGTTGGCAGTGTTATGTGCTGGAGAATAACAGGTTGAACGCGACCACGCAAGCTTATCCCACTTTATTCATCCCTGCTTCGTATTTGAGACATCACGGATTCGTGACTCGTGTCAGAAACCGTCTGTCCTTACGTAGGGTGTTTCATGATTTATTCAGTCTCTCCAGGACATTTCAAATTAGGTCACGACGGCTTCTTTCCACATCCTTTCCAAGTCATTATTCCTTGATCATCCTAACATTGTCTAAGCTATTGAAAGAGTCGTTTAATAAGCAACAAATAACTAAACCATTTTGCTTTCATTCTAACCTCACTTTCATGTGTCTCATCTCTTTTCCACAAACGAGGTCCTGATGACCACATCACGGCCATCCATCTCTTAGATGCAAAAAATGCCATAGAAGTTAGTAGATAAAGAAGTATCTTATGGAAATAGGATGGGAAAGTGTAGACTGTATTCATCTGGCTCAGCACAGAAACCAGTCTTTGGGTCTTTAAGGACACTGTAATGAATTTTTGGGTTCTGTAAAATCCTGCTAATTTCATGTTCTGCTGAGAAAGTATTGGCTTCTCGAGAACGATTTTGACGTATGGAGGTAATTGGTTAGCAAGTTTTTTGTGTGTTATTTTACTGCGCTCTCAGTAGACAGACTGCATGGATGGTAGGGTAACAGTGAATGATGGATTGGAAAAAAGAAAGAAACGACAATTCTCTGCTCGAGCTATTATTGACGAAAAACCTCAGTCAGGGTAGCCGGTGTTTCGGCCGCCATCAGAACCGGACGCCCTCTATTATATAAGAGAAGACGGGCCTCAGAGTCGAGCTGGATACTGTGGAGAAGAGAGAAATCTCTTATACCTGCCGGAAATCGAACTGCCATTCCTCGGTTGTCTAGTCCATTGCCTAGACACTATACCGACTGAGCTATCTAGCTCATTGGCCTAGTTCCAGGAAAGTACATTTCGAGGCCTGCTTAAAGGGCGCCGGATATAACTTGTTCATGTTTATTCTACAGTAACACTAAGCTTAACCTGTGTTCCTTGAATTACGTATGTACAAATATGCACTCGCACACGCCTGATGACCACACAAACTTCACGGAATGAGGATAATTAAATTCTTTTACTGACGTAATTTGTTACTTCTTGGAAACCATGATTGTCCATAGCATAGTGGTTCTCCATTTCCTCACGAGATGGAGGCCTAGGCGGGTAAGGTCTCGGATCTCCCTGTGAATGCCACCTGCATGCCATCCACCGATTTCACAGTGAGCCTTGGCACACTGTATAGGACTAATCTTTACGTCAGGTGTTGAGAGAAAATGATACTAACTAGCTAAATTGAATTAGCTTAGTTATAAGTTCGGCTTTGGATTGTTTGGTTTATGTACTGAGATCCTTCAATGAGGAAAACAGCTGGTTAGTAGCTGTATGGCAGGAGTTCTATTCCCGGTAAGGGCAAGAGCTTTGTCTGGCGCGATTCTCGTTCCCTCTCAGCTTACTCTATAGTGGACTGGGGCAAAGCGACGCTACTGAACGCAGGGATTCCGGAAGAGAATGCAGCTAGCTGTTTTACAGCAGGAGCTCAAGCGACCTCATGACCATCGCGGTTCGAACTTCATTCAGTGCATGAGGTCTGTGAGGTTCTTCGCGGTTCTCTCAATCCGTCAAGACAAATGGCTGAATGGTAGCTGGAATTAGGTGACAGCATCTTCGTTTCCAGTCCTATGAACGTCCTGGTAAACAAATTCACATAATCTTGGTGAAACCTAACCAGCAAACGTGATGTAGTGTCGTTACATAACCAACTACAGATGTTCACTTGAATTCCCTAGACAGCTGAGGTCGCAACAATGAAAAAGTCCATTCGTAAAAACTTTGCGTGTGACGAGAGGGACTTATTCCTTGTCATGTTACATGGCTCGGGGCCATGTGTGGCCAAATTGTACTACCTTGGGCGTCCCTGACCCTTTCAGTGTTATGTGGATGAAGTGTGTAGTTGATGGCCATTATTCATACTATAAATCATTGAAATATCCTCAATATATGGTCTTTAATATCAGCTTATCAGACACTCTTATGATAAACCATAATCAGTGGCGTGCATACAATTTGTCAGTTACAGGCAGGAATCTGTGGTGTGAAAGCAATTTTTCATAGATCAGAATCAAGCAGCTCTTTCCCCGAGTAAGGCATGTGGAGCAGGTACTTACTCCTGTCATCCGTCTAGAGTCGTGGTTAAGAATGCTTGGAGCTTTACGTCAGCTTCGCACTATATCCTTATGTTGTGGTTCTTCTGCATAGAAACAACTTAACCGTTTCAGCACACACATTTTACACGTAGAAACTTCACGTTACAACAGTATTTCAGATACGTAACACTATGCATGTTTTATTTCAGTAAGTTCGCAGTGAAATTCATGTTCAGCGTCGTCGACTACAGAGCTAAATGTTGCGCATTACTCCACTCTTGTATATGATCTTACAGTCACGCCTAAAATAATTATTAGATGGTTTCCAGAGCTTGTCTGGACGCCGAGCGAAAACCGAACCTCAGTGCTCCGGTAGCCAGCCAGTAGACATCATTATATCGACTGAGTTACTGCACTCACCGGACTATATGTGACCGGGAAAAGAATGCTCACGTCCCTTCCATGATCTGATCTCCTGTCGTAAACATTAATGACTGAGCAAAATTTAGCTTCATAGGCTTGATCAGTGTTTCTTAACCAGTGGAACGCATCCCACTGGTGCCACTTGATTGTCGGCTGGGTGAGAAAATAATAATAGCAAAACGCACTTATAGAGAAACTTTCCTGCTCAAACGCACAAGCTTCTCACTATAGCCGCACTATAATCGTACTTTTACTGTTTCAAAATGCTCTCAACAATTTTTCCTCAGAGCAAGAACTCACGTATCATATACGTACGTAAAAGTTATAGGTAAAGCTATCCCTGTAACAGGCCGTGAAGGCCCATAGGGTTGTGAGACGTTGAGGGTCCCACATTTTTTAGACAATCGGCCCACAGATGGCGGTGAGGTTGTCAGCCTTACGCGCCGGCCACACTTTACCCCCCAAGAATATTCCTGGTACTCATTTCTGTCAGAGGCTGAGACGACCCCAGTGCCATAGTGCAGCTGGAAGAATTAGGCCAACTTAAAAAAAGTCCACCTCATCGGGACTCGAACTCGCGACCTTCCGGCTTGTAGCATAGTGCCTCAGTCTATGTTCCTCCCTTAATGTCAGAGACCAAGTTTCACACCCATACAGAACCACAGGCAAAATTATAGTTTTGTATATTCTAATTTTTATGTTTTTGGACAACAGACGAGAAGACAAAAGGTTCTGGACTGAATGGTAGCAAGTGTTACCCGAGTTCAATCGCCTCTGAACTTCCTCCTGAATCAGGTTTCGATCTGTTATCGTTGTTCCCAAATATCTGAACTGTGCCACATTTTCAAAACATCTGTTTCCTATCTTTATGTCATGATTTTGCTCTGCATTTTGGTGACGAGACAGCAACATGTACTTACTGTTCTCTGTGTTTACTTCTAGACCAACCTCTTTATTTGCGTCAATTAAAGTTAGTGTGTTTTTCTTTATGGTATCTACATTATCACCCAGTAGATCCATATCATCGGCGTAGACCAACAGCTGATGTGATCCATTTAATTTCAGTCCTGGTTTCCCTGGACCTTCCTAATTGCACATTCTAAGGCAAAGTTGAAAAGGAGTGGCGATAAAGCATCTCCTTGCTAACACAAAAAAAATATATATATATTGCAACAGGTCAGTCAGTCTTCCAAAAAGACTTAAGCATTTTATTGGTCAAATTGCCACGGTAAATTCCTGCGGCAAGAAGGACGTTGAACTTATACAAATGACAGGCCATAGAACAGACGCATGTCTCAGATATACGTGTCACAATATTTTGGGAATTATTGAGAACTTGAAAGCTCTGAGAAGAGGTAGTGTGTGATTAAAAAACAAAGAGTTAATTGACATAAAGTACAGGGCAGTAACAATAATATCATTTTTTTTCAGTTTCTTTTAATTCAAGTGCCATGTCTTCATGTTCACCATACGAAGTTTCAGAACTCCTCCACCTTTCAGAATGTTCCGCCCTATCAAAGGGCAGGTTCAAGACGTGCACTGCAATAAAATCACGTGACTGCCGCAACAGATGCACACGCAATACTAGAGGAACTGTTGGAGGCGGTGTTTTGTGTTGGGTCCTTGCAGAAGCTATGTAAGGATATGCAAGGAGTGCCTCAAAGGGCTTCAATGGGTTTGCTTGCGTGGAGGCGGGTTCGAATACGGCCACCGTAAACGTGTGAGTCATGAGAAGGGATGAAAAGGGAACGCAGTGTCTGGGGATATAACTGGGCCACTTAGTTCCTGGGGGATATAAATAGGGGGACCTGGCCCTACAGGTTCGGGGAGTCTTGAATCTGAGACAGTAAAATGACTGCGCTGGCGAGGGTCAGCATCAATGATATGTTACGTAAGGAAAATGACCGCAAGGGTTCAGTTGAAAGAAAGAATCACTGGTCGCGAGTCTCAAGGGGCTTGGGTCCAACACTGATTGGCAGTAAACCGCCAGACGTGAAGTAATTTTGACTTTGACTTTGAGTTCGAGCTGTATTGACAGAAACTCTTTGTATATCTTCTATAAATGTTACTTAGTATAGTGCAATGACAAAGGACGCACAGGATCCATAGTGACCTAGACGCCGTGACAGCGCGGATATCCTCCTACTGAAACTACTGTGCAGAAAAACGTAGGGCCTACATAGAGCGACCTCCGTCCCTCGTCGAATAGGAGGCCCCATTTCTAAACACGTACATGTCTAGGGAGGAACAAAAATCTTGGTCTTGGATCTCGATGAGACCTGAAGTCAGGAATGGCCGTGCTGGCGAGGAGCCAATAGCAATACAACCGACTGACCGATCTGCAGACAGACGAGTTTCTTCTGAGTCGGAAGTGAGTGCTTGCCTGCGATAGCGACTTGGTAGCCAGTGGAGGCCAGACGCGCCAGAAGTCAGTGGCTAGGAATTGTGGCCGTGAGGCGCTACGAGACAGTCGGTAGCCGGTAAGGAGGTGAACACGGAAGCTGAGGAATCTACGGTGTTGGGAGCTGTAAAAGGCAACGACTGGTGAAGACACAGTAGACTGAGAAGGCTTAGTGTGTGCCGTGGTGAATTGTGAAGAGTGTTAACTCGCTATAGTGCAATAGTTAATTGTAGTTACGGTTTGTAAGAGTTCAGTAAATTCAGTTACCTATCCAAAGCTCTTGTATAGTGGCAGTATGCACACTAATGGTCATTCAGAGCTTTACTTACATGAATTAGAGGAAACCATTTTTCGTCATTTCTGCGTTAACGGAAGGTCAAATATTTGGGTAATTCTCCGCATTTAAGGCGTGCCAATATTACGCATGTGGTGACTCCGAAGAATTACCCCACACTTTTTTAAAAGCGAGCAGTTTGTTAAAATATATTTGCAGTGTCTAATCATTTTTTATTTCTCTTCATGCTGCAACGTTGAAGGAAGTTATCTACTCATGATATCTTGTTGCACATACAGGTAGTTTCCAGGTCGTGATTACTGATAACGTACCATACGACGGCTCAGTTTACCTAAATGTAAATAATCCATAACTCACAGACTTCTTAGTTTTCTTCATGTTGTTCCCTGGTACCTGTATTGATACAGAATTTGCAATTGAATATGCTGCGGAGGCGATTACAGTGGTCGCGTGGTCTAATGCCTGAGTTGTCTTCGTCCTCGAACACAGGGATCGTGGTTTCGAATCCCACTTGAGGGACGGATGTCTGTGTGCAGGTAGCTGCCTTGCCAAGGGCTGTTCCCCGCTCAAGGAATCTACTGACTGTGGAAAAGATCAGGAAGCTTAAAAAGCGACCAAGGTCCAACAAACGGCTGTAGAGCCACAGATGGATGGATGAATGACTGAATATGGCGCGGAAGTTTATCCGCAAAACTGCCGGAGGAATTGCAGTGAAGAGCAGCTGCTGGCTGCTACCCCTACTGTAAAATCAGAGCGGTCCCCCTGAAAGTATAGACAGCCTGCAGAACAGCAGATTTTACAGTTCAGAGACACATGAAAACCGGCATCACGGGCAGTCCTCGGATTTATCGTAAAGCCACGTCTACACGAAACCAAGAATAAAAATTAGCCGAGCATATTTTGAGGCCCTAATGCTAACACCAACAGAGCACGTCATGTTGCGTATGTTTCCGCTGAAGTTACCGTATTTACGCATGTATAGGCCGCAGCACAATTTTCAGAGAGAAATTATAGAAAAAATAATTTTCTTGGAATATTATTTCAGGAGTATTACACCCTGTATTACTAATTATGAATATAATTTCTTTTAATGAAGTGTGATTTCGAATATTTCGAATATAAGCCGCACCCCAGTTTTCCTCTTGAATTTTTGGCAAAAAATGTGCGGCCTATACATGCGTAAATACGGTAGTTCTAATTCGGCAACTAAATTATCTGGTAAAAGCCGGTTGGTCCTCTTTCTTAAAAGGAATTCCAGAATCGGGTTGAGGAATCCGGAAGGCACAAGTGGTAATAGAATAAACGGATTTAATGAGGGCGTGTTAAACCGTTCCCTCCATAGTCTAGAGATGGCAATGGGTAAATACAGTTTTCATGAGTACATCACGTATAACACGGATTAAATAGTTTTTTGTAAGATTTGAGGCTTTCACGGCGGTGACTATGAAGAAAGCAGTCTTCTGGGATTTGGCACCGTGTATATATGGTGTTAACCGACGTTTCGGAGGAACGTATCGCCCCCCTCTTCAGGGTCGGTTAACACCACATATACACGGTGCCAAATCCCAGAAGACTGCTTTCTTCAAATAGTTTTTTGTTTTCGATTTTAGCACCGGAAAGACCAAAGCAGATAGGAGTTGCAGCTTATCGAGAACCCGAAAATAATATTACTTCCGTTTGTTCAGCATCTTGGAATCATGCTCCATCGACGTTTCGGAGGAATATACCGTCTCCAGCGTCTTCCTGAAGATGGAGGCGATACATTCCTCCGAATCGTCGGTTCACAGAAGATTTACTCGGCGCCACATCCCAGAAAACGGCATTTTTTTAGACAGGAAATGACCACTTCGAAGATCTAGGTGTAGGTGAGAGATTGATATTGAAACTGATCTGTATGACAAGGAAGGGAGAGTCTGTCTTCGGACAGGAACCTTTGTCAGGATATCGTCAGCATGGAAATAAATTTTCTGGTTCGACAAAGAATGAGGAATGTCTTCATTGACTGGGCAGCTGTTAAATTCTAGAGGTGTGAGCTGCGTTTGTTTAGTAATTAACTTCGCTATTTATATGAGAAAATGATATTGTCTGATGCTGAAATCTAACAGAATTTCTGAAGGAAATTTTGTATAGGCTTGTTATCAATTCATGCTTCCTTTATAATCAGGAAATATGTACGTAGCTTTGAATTCTTATACTTTTTGACTTCGCAAGACACAAGCAACGATCTGTAGTCCTAAATTAGAAAACTAAATTATGCCGGAAGTCGTAGTATGAAGTGGAGGCAAATGAACAACGTATGTCGTACAACAGAATTTTAATCTGGCCGTGAATAACTGCAAATCTTATTACATATTTTGAAAATTTGTCCTAATTTTAAGTGATAGTCACAGTTCTAGGAACATCAATTCTCACATTTGCTAATTTTATTAGCCTTCTAAAATACATTGGTGACTATATATACCACCTGCTTTAACATTAGAAAACTTAATTCTGAGCACACCTTGTAGTAATGTGTTTCGTAAAAAAAAAACAGTGATTATTTCCCTAACCAGCACTGACTGGTTGGTGTTTATAAGGGAGGCGCTGCAAGTTTACCGTGAGGTAAGAACTGAAATTTTAAATCCATATAAGAAATTCGTGCTTCGAACTTATATAAATTTCGCCTCTCACATGGCTATATGAAGTGCCGTGATCCTGGTCGAACTTCTGCATTTGCTTTCTCACCATGCGTCGTCTCACTTCCTCACTGACTGCGGTGGATTGGCGGTTCTTTAGGGCACCCAAATAACCTGTCGAGTATCTGCAAATCTCACTTAGGTGGTTCAGAACTCTTTGCCATGGGCATACATGGGCTCCCTGGGGCTGTAAACAGAACACTCAGGGCGTTGCCCATGGCTTGAATGTTACTTTGTTGTCCAAACAAGTTTAAACTAAGTTCAGATAATTGTTGGAGGCTTTTATCCTCTTAGGTTATGATGATGATGATGATGATGATGATAATAATAACAAAATAATTTTTTTTATAATGTATGGTTTGCTGCAGTCGGTATTCTGATGACTTGCAGTCCAGTATGGCTTCCTCCGTCACGAATTGCTCCTAGTAGCGGCTTCTTTCCAAATCTGCAACACGCACAACAAACGAACCAGTTTTGATACGTAACTCATGATCCTTCTCACTGAGAGGTTGTATCTGCCAAATTGTTTGGACTTAAGGAGAATAATAATAATCGTAACTAGAGTTGAGGTTTTATAGTGGTGAAAACTGATGTAGTCTTCTGGGTTATGACACTTTGAACCATCCGCGGACTATAATCTACCTACTATCGCCATCGTCAGTCAATGACGTAGACCGTTACGTCACAATTAAAAAGTAACTAGATTCTATTCTCAACATACATCCGGTATTCATAGGCCGGTGAGAAATTAAGAAATTCTTAACGCATTTCTTTCCTTATCTAAGGTTGACTGCACAAGGTATGACACACCCTGGTCCACAGGAGCCCCCCACTGGCCCTTGTCGTGAGACAGACGAATCCAGTCCACACATTGCCTTAATATCATTTTAATTTTCTTCTGAAATCTACATGTAGTTCTTCCAAATGGTTACTTTTGTTCAGGCTTTCCTACCAAAAATTTGAAAGCATTTTTAGTCTCTCAAACGCTGTCGCCCCCCGCTCTCCTTTTATATGATTGGTTAAGGATCTGTGTTGTTTGTTAAGTTGTTTCTCATTTCGTTGTTTTATTGAACGCTGGCCGAAACTCAGAGGGCGGCAAACAACACCCCAATCTCCCGTTTTCACAGACGAGGCACGGAGACACAAACCTCAGCTGTTCAAGATTTTAAATATTAAGAACATTAATAATATATTTTTCACTTAAACACGTTTTAACTCAATTAAAAATCTTTACATAAAACTTTAAGCTTATGTACTATGATCTATATAATAGTATGTAAGATTTGAGGTTTTCACGGCGGTGACTATGAAGAAAGCAGTCTTCTGGGATGTGGCGCCGTGTAGATATTGTGTTAACCGACGTTCCTCCGAAACATCGGATAACACAATATCTACACGACGCCACATCCCAGAAGACTGCTTTCTTTATGTAATAATAGTTCCTTAAGTTGTTATTGCCTTCTGAAAATGGTCACAACTGATCGAAACATATAAAGACATTATATAAATATACAATATACTGAGTCACACTGGACGGTGTTGTCAAATCACTTTATAATAATTAACTAGTGTGACGGACCAGAACGAATAAAGTTAAACACGTAGTTTCTGTACTAATGTTTGCTTTATGGACACCGTTCAAACAGGGACCTGATCTGCTTACAATATGTATCGGATTGGTGCAAGGACACCATCATGAGTTGTAACAGGACTGTAAGTCTAGAACACGTTCGGCAGTGCTCACAGTTTCCGCGTGCTCCGAATGGCTTTGGTGAATGCGTTGGCAGTGTTAGTACATTAAACACGAATATTATTTTGGATATTTTCTATAGTCTTGAAGCTTTTCTAGCATAATCTTTTTGACGGAAATTTGAACTATTTCCTTCGTCATTCATTCATTCATTCATGAGTAATCTGTCAGACGACAGGTCCACAGCCTCTTCCAAAACAGTTCCTCCACTTAATGCGATCTTCTGTTTTTGGGAAGAGACTATCCAGGAAAAGTGATAATGTGGTAGTTTTTCCATTTGCTTTCCACATCGCAGTACAACAGCCGTTCAAACCACTCTGGTCACGCCTGTTGCTATACGAAATTGAACCATGTCGAGCATCATTTGCTCTGTGCTTCAAGTCGCTGCTGATGACGCTGCTTCCGGCATCAGTTTTTGGTGTCTCTCTTCGTCTGATGCCTACCCTTTGACCTGTCCAGCAAGGTAGGCCCTGCCAGTAGCTACGCTACCGCTGGTATAGCTCTCAGGGTCCTTGGCATACTCAAACCACGATAAGGTGGAGACACCAACGAGGGGGCCTTCGTCATATTAAAGCGAAAAAGGATTCTACATTACCGGGACCAGTGGAGGGCTCTTGTGAACATGGTAATGAATCATCGGGTTCCAAAAAATGCTGGGAAATTCTTGAGTAGCTGCAGATTTTGCCTCTCCTCAAGAAGGGCTTAGCTCCATAAGTAAGTAAGTAAGTAAGTAAGGATTCGGCGTAATTTTGCCCGTTAAAAGCATCATTGGATCGAGAGAGCCTGACCATCTCTTTCTAACGGACCCGGCTATCAGGAGTGTTTGCTTCCTTACATCTGATGACAGAAATACATCCAGTTTTCGAAATATAGTTTCTCCGAAAAGTCTAGACAATAGACAGTGAGCAAAATAATATTCGCATTTATTGCAACGCAACATCGTCAGGAACATTAAGTAAATTACTCACCAAGAGTTCTGATTACTACTTTTGTATTCATATTGTGATAATCTTTGTTATGATATCGTGTAGTCTGGTAGATGTGTGAAAGATGTTGTATTGTAGAAGAACACAGAAATAACTTATACCGCTGTGAAAGCCTGAAATCTTATTGTCATGCGTTCAGTGCACAGTGTGCAAGAAATAACTCATACATGGGTTGTTATGTCAGTCGGTCCACATTAGGATAATAGCTAGAAGAATTTTGATTAAATTTTGTATTATGCCATAGGAAGTCGCCCAAAATTCATTCATTTTAGTTTCATGCAATTGGTATTGGAAACTCAGAGGCAGCACGAATTTGTGAGGCGGGGCTGACACTATAGTCATCAGAGAAAATGTGTTAACCGTAGTAACCGCGGTAACCATGCTAATAATGCTAATCGTGTTAAAGGCAAGGGCAACAGCCATCGTAACTGCAGAATCGATAGCAATATCGATAGTACCGCAGGTAGCTTCAGCAACGAGTTTTCCTGCTTTAACTGGAGTACATAGTGTAAGGCGATTTTTTTGGAGGGTAACTCTTACCTATACACCACTCAACAGACAGTATTATTAAATCTTAGTGCGGTTTTTATACGATTTAAAAGTCATACAGTAGATATATGCGTTTATTTTTAATGTGGATTTATAACAATGTTTTTTTTTAGAAAATGTCCAATTGTTGGAAAATAAAACTGTTGAAAAATTGAATTTAAAGTTATAATTAATATTGTTAAAGTGTAAATTAGAGGTATCTGGGACATTTGAAAACAGCTAATTCAAAGAGCGCATGTAATCATTTTTAAATTGCGTTATGGGTTGTGCCTTTCTAGTTTAGTGACTCTGATTACTTCAATTCTTGTGGTTTTTATGGTTACTGTGTTCACGCCATCTTGGATTTCTGGTGGGCAGAATGGCCTTCGGGCATATATCCTCTGAGTACTTAAGTTTTCCAAGCCAACTCTCGTTCCACCATCGCTTCCACGCTCATCTGTTATCACCGTTCCATGCAACAGGCCAGATAATGGCCGGAGTACATGTGGGTTCAGTGTCACCCCACCCTACGAACAAAAAAAAAATGCTGAGTGAATGTGAGGGCGAATAGGCCGTGTTATATGTAGTTGAGTCACATATTTCTCAGCCGACGGAGTGGTTGTTTCCCAGAAGGTAGGCATATTTTGATATTTCCCGACATCATGCTACAGCTTTAGCTCTGAAAAGGAATTTGGCTGGAAGTTGAACGCTTACAGTTGCTATTCCTGTCCATGTTGGGTGCCGGCGCGCCGCGGTGGTTCGCCGACACTCCGTCCTCGGACCAGGTGGACGTGCTCGGGCGATTTGTCTTGCCGAAGTGCAGTGTATAATCAGGAACTGGTACAGGGGGTTTCTCCAGTTCTTCTTCCACCACCGGCGTTTGTTTCTGCTTTGGCTTCATCGGCACGTTCCTGGGACCGAAGTAAGACCATGGGAGCTGACTTCGCAGCTCGTCTGGCGGCATGGAGCCTGAGAGACGGGAGCCATCTTTCCTGAGCAAGATTCAGAGTCCGTGTCACACGAGAGAAGAAATGACCATTGCTTCACGTGTGCATGATGAGGTCCCGTTTATGTGAACTGTAGTGGAGGAAATGCATCGCGGAAGCGTTACATGAAGAGTGTTTTGAGTTTATTACATGAATATTGTGTTGAACATGGTCAGACCCATCTTCTCGTCAGAGAGGATGTTACATAAGGACTATTACCGAAGAGTTCAGTTGGAAAGAAGTCTGGTCGTGGTCTTCAAGGGTCCTGGCACCAAGACGAACTGACTGGCGGTAAACTGCCAGTCGTAAAGTAACTTTGACTTTCACTATGAGAAATCCGTGTGGAGGCGGGGACGAATACCTCCACCGTGACCCTGCGAATCTTAGGAGTCTCAAATCTGAGAGAGTAAAATATGGTCGCGTGTTCCAAGGGACTCGGACCTGAGAAAGACTGCGCTGTCAAATACCAGCAGCATATCAGCAGAGGAGGTAATCACGTAATATTTTGGTTTTCTTCAGAATAAANACTGCAATACCGATTAAACACTGCTGTTTATTTTCCTCATCTTCTGGTCCTATCGAAAACACCAAAAATTAGCTTTGTTTCGCTTTTATAGTCAGGATATAATGATAAACTTACAAACAGCGACCTGCTTAGATTAATCATATCCAGACACCCTCACTGATATGTTTCTTCACAATTTCATAGCATAGCAGTTGTGTTTATTTAAAATATGGATATAGTATAACATTTAAGTATGAGAGTTCCCTCACCAGTTAGGGTCCTTGAGTCGATCATGGGATGTTTGTGGAGACATCCTACTCAGTGGCTTCACTTCTTCATAACTTTGGGGACGTCTGTAAATAGATAAGCTTGGGTAAATGAGACAGCCATGGAGAAAGGGACATATCATGGCAACGTCTTCAAAGTTTCCTTTCATTAATCCTATGGATGCTGAACTACACTTCGGTTCAAGGATTCGTCTGAAGGAGGAAGAATACAACGCACGCAGTCACAAGGGAAGGACACAACACAGGACACAATATACACAAGAATATAGGAAGAGTACTCCCATAGGAGAGGACTGACGTAACTCGCGAATTTGAAGTGCGGCGCATAGATGATAAATCTTGAAAAGTTTTAATATATAAATTTTATCATTATACATGACATAGTTACATTTTAATCATTTTATAAAGGAGACATGATGGCATACAGTGCAATGGTTTGACGTAAATAAAACCACACCTGAAGATGGCACATTAGTGCCGAAACATGTAGTGAAGAGAAAGGTGAAATTGTGTGCACTGTAAGACGGTTAGTACAAATACACATCATGAACGTGAATCAGTGCAACAGGACGCTAAAACATAACATAACACTAGGAAGAATAATGTGAATCACAAATATTCACTAAAGTGGTTGTTCAATTAAAAAAAAGTGCTTAGAGAATAACTGGATCTTAACAGATAATTAATAGTTCAATAGAGAAGTTCATTACTTCATTTTTTATTGATTTACTTGGTATGTCATGGCGAATGAGCTGCCTGAACTTATAGACGTAGCAGGAACATAAGAAATCTAGCATAATGTTGTTTGGGAATGTCACTGAAAGAAATAACCTATTACACCTTAGTATAGATTGGATCATAGAGTCATTTATGTTCGTCATATATTCGTCGATACAACTTGCTATATGGTCATAACATGTTTTCACAGAAGGTNCGGCGCCACATCCCAGAAGACGGCATTCTTCATAGTCATCGCTGTGAACAGCTCAAATCCTGCACAGGATTAACAGCGTTCTTTCTCATGCTCTTATTATGCAATGTGGAATGAATATGAATGATAATTATCATTCATTCATCATTATTAATGATTATAATCATTAATAATGATGGATGTAAGGATTTGGGATGGAGCAGGGAGCAATACGTTTGACCGCAGCCAATCAGACGCTGAAATTTAGAATTCTAGCTGAGCGGTACTCGAGTGTTAAAAATATCCTCTCCGCCCCTTGTCCGTCAGTCTTGAGGAGGGGTGCAGATGGGTCAGTTTTGTGGCTATGTGCAGTTTCATCTCCCGCCAATAGCACAAGAAATTAATTTTCGAAAACGACGGCAGATGGGGCTGTAATATAACATAAAACAGCTTCGACTAATGTTAGTAATAAATTTAAATTATTGCCTAGAAAGACTGCAGACGGGATATTACTGCGGCCATAAAATTAGTGTCGAAGACAAGCCGATTTTTATTGAAGCTGTAAAATCAATATAACTGTTCATAACAGTAACGTTACAGTCAGAAAATGTGAATTGTGCATGTCGGAGTAATAATTTAGATATTAACAAACATATCAGTGTTTCGTCTTTTCTACGCTGTCTCAAGGGGCGTCACATCTTGCAAACAGTATTGCCTGAGATTAGCCAGAATCTCTAAGATTGAACTGCACTAGCATCAGAAAGAGGTACACTAGGTATCAACATTGCACACAATGGAGAAGGCGGCCGACTGAAGACAGAGGAAAAGCTGCGCCAGGAACAACCCACATCCGTGCAAGGTCAGGTACAAGATGTTACCCCGAATTCTCAACGAACAAAGGAGAGCCAGTGGGCAGCACTAAACCAGCTTTACCACTACATCTGCCCTTTCTGCCCGGAGGATATCATTGGTTGATATGGATCTTAAGGTGATAGACTCTAACGATAGGTAGAGGATGGAAATGGTTCAAGATAAATATTTGAGTTATAAAATGGTTCACAACACTTACTACCGGAAGTGAATTAACAATAAATTATCATAAACACCCAGCAATAAGAAAACGGAAAGCTAATTGGATTGGTCATATCTTACGCGGTAACTGCCTTCTAAAAGAAGTTATTGAAGGAAAGATAGAGGGGCAGATAGAAGTGACTAGAAGACGAGGAAGAAGACGTGAGGAGATGCTGGATGACCTTGGGGGCCGAAGAGGATATTTTCATTTGAAGGAGAAAGCTCTAGATCGCATTAAGTGGAGGAACTGTTTTGGAAGAGACTGTGGACCTGTCATCTTGACATATTACAGATGAATGAATGAAACACCCAGGATAGTGAACACTGCTCAGGCCCTGCATAACTGATGTAGCGGTGCCAGGCAGTTGTCCTCGTGTGCCCCCCTGATGTCTTCTATCGCTTTGAAGTTTAACCAGAATTCTACGTTTATTATACATCCAACGTAGAAGAAATTAGGTATGTATAATTGATTCGATTTTAAAAGAATCAATCATCAGTTTTGAAATCCGACAATTTAACAAGACGCGATGCATTAGCGTGGGGATACAGTGATCTATTCGTGTCTAGACAATTCAAAACCGAATCTAACTCAGAAAGATTCTGCAAAGGCAGAGGACCGCCAGTTTCAATTGACTCGACGCTGCCCAAACAGTGTGGCAGAACAAGTTGTCCTGTCCTTGCAGCATCTTAGCGACTCTAACTCGGTTCGAATTTGCTGGACGCGATTCTCTCAGTATGTTCATATTCCCTCATGACCTGGCCTTACCGATTTGTGTCCATCACCGAGGGTTGCAGTCTGTATGGTAGGCGGTCCGAATCCGTCCGATTGATGTCTGGCGCCCTCTTCTTCACACCATTATCGTAATTCGTTTTCTGCTCACTAGGTAGCTCTGGCAGTTTTTTGGATAGTACGGCCAATGGCGGCCTGTCAGTATTGTCAGCTGCGCCAGATGGGTTCTGGGGCCATATGCTTGGTTCCAAACATTCCATGTAATCTGGTTCTGCAGCGGGGGAGTGCAGGTTGACTCTAGGAATAGCCGTGTTGGAAATCAGTCCATTCTTCAGGGATGACGCAGGACGGAGGGACATCATAGTGGGGTCGTCTGGGGTATATGAGAACGGTCTGTTGTTGTTGATGGAACCTGTCACATATTCGTAGTCCGGCTGTAGGTTCATTTTGTTGGCGTAAGGTTCATTGTTAGCTGCATTGTTGCTTCCAGATCCAGTATGAATGTCGTTATTTTCAGTAGCGGCCGTGTTCCTTGTGTGGTTTGGGTATATTGGCAGTTTTTCAGCCTGTAAAACAAAAAATAATACATGAATGAAGCCTTTTGCTGATGTTGTTTGTTTCTCATCGGTTACATAACCAGTGTCCAAGACCAATGCCCTATGCAGCATTTTATATCATAGTACATTAAAAGATTAAAATAAAAACCTACAATTCTGGCTGTTGTTTTGTACGGATATGACCTCAAGAGAAGAACAGAGACGGAAGATATCAGAGAGCGTAGTACTGAGAAGAATGTTTGGACCGAAGAGAGAGGAAGGAACAAGAGGCTGGAAAGAACTGCATGATGAGAAGCTTTATAATTTGTATTCTTCGCCAAATATTATTAGAGCGATCAAACGATGAAGTATGGAGAGGTGAGGGCTGCATCACGCATGGGTAAGGTGAAAGAAAGGCAAAACTGTCCCTGTAACAGGCTGTGAAGGCCCATGGGAGTGTGAGACATCGAGGCTCCCACATTTTCTAGAAAATCGGCTCACAGATGGCGGCAAGTTTGTTAGCCTTACGCGCCGGCCGCCCTTTACCCCTCAGGAATCTTCCTGGTACTCATTTCTGATAGAGGCCTAGTCAACCCCAGGGCCATATTGCGGCTGAAAGGATTAGGTCAATTAAAAAAATCCAACCTCATCGGGAATCGAACCCGCGACCTTCCGGCTTGTAGCGTAATGTCTCAAGCAACTAATGCATGGGAGAGAAGAGAAATGTATAGAAAGATTTTGTTCGAGAACCTGAAAGAAAGGAACCACTTGGAAGACTAGGCGTAGAACAGAATTGTTAAATCCCCACATAAAACGTAATCTTGTAGGATTTGAGGTTTTCACCACTGTGACTATGAAGAATGCCTCCTTCTGGGATGTGGCGCCGTGTAGATCTTGTGCGAACCGAAGTTTCGGAGGAACGTATCGCCTCCATCTTCACTGTAGAAAAATCCGCCAACGAGGAAACAGCGTGAGCATGTGGGTATCAAAGTTACACATTCTGCCAGTAGTTGAATCTCCCAGCAGTAGTTCCTCTGTCTTCAGCTGTCATTTCCATGAAGAATTCTTATTTCGAAGAGCCTCTTGCTAACTTTCCTTTTCATCGTTGATTGTTATGTTGTTAGACCGGAATGTGAGTATGCCGCACCCCTGGTGCACAAATAAATAAATCTCACCACCGAACACAATCTTGGCCTGCAGTTATTTAAATAAGTGCATTTTAATATACCCCTTGGTTTTCCATGGGGACTGCTTCTCTGAGGCTTTGCTGCCAACACTGGTAGGCCTATGCCCGTTCGTTCTGTCTCGTTTCGGTGTTCCTAGTTCCCTCATCCCAGAAGAACTATAGGAAGAATGCAGATTTGGAAACTCCTACTTTTTGTATGCCTTCTTACAGTCTCCCACTAATTCCGGTGCCTTAGATTCAAATATTCTCCTCAACACTGTGTTCTTAAAACACCCGAAACCGTGAATGACCTCAGGAACGTTTCTGCAAGGGGGAGGCCAGCAGTCATGGAATTTGCAGTTACGATTAAGCCTATGGATTTGATTTTCTCACACGTTGGCTAAGATGAGCACGGTCTTGTGAGTTATAACGCCATATAAATATTTTTACTGAGAATCAGAGAGCGCGATCTTTCGGAGGATCATGTCACCTCCATATGCAGAGTCGGAGAATAAGTAAAGCTTGGGGCACTATGCTACAAGCCGGAAGGTCACGGTTCAAGTCCCGATGAAGTCATTGGATTTTTTCAATTGACCTAATCGTTCCAGCCGCACTATGGCTATGGGGTCGGCTCAGCCTCTAACAGAAATGAGTTCCACGAATCTTCCTGGGGGCAAAGGGCGGCCGGCGCATAAGGCTGACAACCTCACCGTCATCTGTGAGCCGATTATCTAGATAATGTGGTACCCTCGACGTCTCACAATCCTATGGACCTCCACGGTCTGTTACAGGGATGGCTTTACCTTTTACGAAACCAGCAGAGGGTAAGCTTCGCCTGCTTTCTTTCTCGGCTCACACTTCACCTTCCGAAACGTCGGTGGACTTCTGCCAGACTACAAGTTGTTGTAACCCAGAAGATTATAGTCTTCATGTTTAAGCCGCGCAAGAATATTATTACGGACATCCCTAGAATTGTCTCTTCATTGAAACACAGTTGGCTCCAATTAGAAACTCTAGGTATTTGGACCCCCCCCCCTTCCGCAGATCCCCATGCTCTCAGCCTATCTTAGTTTCTCACAGTAAGTACCCAAATTTCACACCTTGTACAAAAAGGGATTTGGACGCAGATGTGTTATCTTCAGTTCCTCTGAAAGGAGCGGATAAGATATCTGATAGAGATTATGAGTTTATTATTGGCACGAATGTACAATTTTTTTTTTCAATGACTCTTCCAGCCCATTCAAGTCCCTGGCCTCTTATTCAGTTCCGTAATCGTTTTTCACAGACGGTAGGACTCCTTGGACGAGTGATGAGCTCGCCGCAAGGCCGCTACCTACACACAGGGCAAAATAAAGACAGAATAAATGCATACACACCACAAACATTCATGCTCTGAGTGTGATTCGAACCCATGATCCCAGCGTCCGAGCGAGCGAAGATAGGTCATGCCTTAGACCGTGAGGCAACTATGACCGGCCATGAATGTACAATACTGTAGGTAAATAACATCAAATCGGCCTTCCTATTTATATGTAGGCAGTGGAATAGACAGTGAAATGCTGCTCTAACTAAGCCAACTTCAGTTCCAAAGGCGAGGATTAGGCAACTGAACTATCGCACCGGGAGTTACGTTTGCAGTGGATGACATGATAGAGCCACGATTTCTTAGTATAGAAGTGCGTCATGCTGTTAAAAAATCATAATACCCAGTTTCAGTTCAGTCGTAAAAATATTTTCGAAGTACGTGCTTAAGTTTTAGAGCAGAATTTATATTTTACCTCACAAATACAATTAATATCAAGCCCCAATTTTCCGGTTTTACATCCCCGAAGCTAAAAATAAATAACATTATTTATGATTATTGCATTGTCATAAAAGGGTTCTTTTTAAAATATGGAAATCAAGAAATTAGAAATCGTCAAAACAAGTTTCAAAGATATGCACGTTAATTCTTAAATTTTTGTTTTATGTCTCAGGGGATAATCTACGAGTATTTCTTGTGTTGTAAAACATGTGAATGCTTAATAGATTCTAAAGGGATTCTGACGATTTGTATGGCACTCGAAATTACTGGGTTCTGGGGCTTTCTCGATCGTCTGGTATTTTAAGAAAATTAGAGAACTGGGTCTGTTTCCATCCTCAGCTGAGGGGGCAGACACCTACTCTGTTGGGTCCCTTAGAAAGACCAACCTCAATCACTTGGCAAACTATGTCAGTGTAACTAGGGCTATATAAATACTTGAGACCAGGCTATCTCAGTTTTAGGTCTGTACATGCTTTATCGCAATTTTTATTGCACATTTTTCCTGTTACCTCCCATTGATATTGCCTGGTCTCAGAAGATGCAGAGAATGATTTTAGAGAACCGAAATTGAAGAGATGGGGGCAAAAGCGTAAAATAGAGATGAATGGACATCTTCCTTAAAGGATATTTAGAGCACCCTACAGCCATGAAGGATGTAAGTAACATCATGGGCATCCCCAGGATATTTTCGGGGGGGGGGGATTTTTCTAATGAAGACAACGAGAGAATATGTTTACAGACTTATGTTTAAGCAATTAAAGACTGTGTTTTTGAAGCCTTTATAGTATTCAAGATAGAAATTAAAAAAAAAAATAATATTTGATATGACCATTCGAGGCATTTATTATTATTATTATTATTATTATTATTATTATAATTAATTCTCTTTATCATTTCCAGGGAGTAGGGATGGTATCTTGCCCGCCCCTACTTCTGTCAAGGCATAAAAATACTTGTTTTTACCTTTCGTTTGCTTCTGTCCTTGTAGAGCCGGCGAGTTGCCACGCTTACACAGATAACTAACAGGACGTTCAGGAGCCAGAAGACCACCACGCGGCTGGACAGAAGCGCCATTATCAGGGACGGTATCATGGTGAGACCGCTTACACTTTCCAAAGGATTTTCCACATCTTCAGGAATGTTCTGCAACCCTATTAGGTTCAGCAACCCTTGCGCAGTCTGAAAATATACAACCTTGATGTACAGTACGCCCTCTGTGAACGGCCTACAACTTGGATGTAGCTGACTACATATACGTATGATGTAAACCAAGAAAATTTCCGTTCCTCATATGGTTTCTTCATGAAATAAACAGAACTTAACTAGTGAAGGTGCTACAAGTAAAGCTCTTATTACCGAGAGGTCTGGTATATCGGTAACGCTGTGATTCGGGAGATGCTTGGTTCGAATCTTGCTCAGAATATCAGCTCTTGACTGAGGTGCTGCACGAGCTTTCTCAGTCTCACCAAGCAAAGTCTGGCTCAGTACTTCGATTAGGCCACACCTGCTTCCATCTAAACCTCTTCCAAATCATCCGTCCCTTATCATTCTACCAATAAAGTCTAGCTACTGGAAATTTCGTAAACCATCCCCGTCCAACAAGAAACAATTTAGCAGAAGAATTTAAAACGTTGGAACCTAAAACTCATTTAAATGATATTTAAAATTTCAATTCATCATTCACCGAAAATACTGCACTGTCATTACAGAGATCCATTCTTCTTTAAAGTTTTAGCGCTAAGTACTATATTGTATTATTGACAAGGAGAGGCAGAGTGTAGCGAGTTAAGAAGGGGTACATCTGTTACTAGATTTATATACAATTTTTAATCAGTTTTCCTGAAGAGGAAACCACTATGAAAACATATATTTATATGGAAAGATAATATTAAATTAAGCTTAAAAATTTACTATAGCAGGGTGTTAACTGGATTCATCTGGCTCGGGATAGGGACCAGTGGACACTGCGAACCTTCGCTTTCCATAAAATATCCAAGAAGTCGTTGGCTTCTCAGGGACTCAGCTCCACAGAATTTATTACTTAATTCCATTACACTTAGTGAAACAGTTTTCACGTTGTGTTTTTAAAATATAAAATGATCAATCTGTTGGACATTGCTCCTCGTCTTAGATGCGTTTAAAATACACAACGATTCACAGCTGGATCTGCTTCTGTCTTCAGCTGTACGTGTGGGAAGGATGCCATCCAGATGGGCCCATTAGGAGCCAGTCTCGATCCCTGGCCTCCTTCTGGAGGACCCACTGACTTGCACCACATGGTATAGGCTGATGCACGTTTTAGAAGTCGTATACAGGGTAATTCACGAAGTTTTACCCCACTCAGGGAGGGCATTCCTGAGGTAATTTGGAACAAAGAATGTTAATATACTAATGGTATTCAACTCATAATTAAAGAGATACAGTAATTTGAAAACTGGCGAACAATATTTTTTCTTTGAATTTCAGTCAAAACAAATCAGAAATACAATACAAACACTTTTTAAATCGTTAATGTTTTAGGAAAGAAGCATTCTAAAACCAAATTTTTCTTTTCAATTTCTTAATTTTGCATTGTGCAACATTTTTCATCGATTTTGTGTTACAAAATTACATTATTTTCAGCATCCCATTCTGTAAACATACCAATGGTTGCATATCACACCCTTCTATCAATATGTTTCCTTTAAACTGTAGTGCTTTAGAAGTCGACTGGATTTACATAAGATTTTCAAAAATGTCTCCCTACACGTCAACACAATGCGTCGCACGCGTATGAACCGCTCTACCTATCTACCTACGCGCAACATTCAAACCTGTCTACCTTATCTGCTGACATAGCTGACTGGAACGTATGGTCGCCCACGCTGAAGCGTAGCGCTGCATTCACAATGATGTGTTTCGAAAATCTATTGTTACTCCGTAACTATTGAAAATCGACCACAAGTTCATAAGGAAATTTTGCAGCAAATAATCTCAGGAATATGTACCATAAGCCGGGGTAAAACTTCGTGAATCACCCTGTATATTCAGTATACCTAAAACGATGGACAGTCCCAACATAATATTTTTGTGACGAAGAGACCATTGTTACAATGTGACAGCATATCAGTGACGGCTTCAGACCCTGCTGATATCGTGTTCCAATGGACTCACCTGCGATTCGCTGACGTGACCGGCAAAACTGATCGTGGCGACCACATCCATGACGATGTTGCCAATAGTGACGATGATCCACGGGACGTAGGCCACCCAGCTGCGAACGTGAAGAGCACTGGCCCCTGGGAAGGGCACAGCGATTATTTGTCTAAAACATCTGTGAGGCTTCGTCAGAGTTTCAGTAGGCAGTCTTATGGAAGAAGATTCCATTTCAGCCTACTTTCCTTATTATGAAAAACTGAAAGTGTCTTATGAGGTCACCCATTTGTCTGTGTGTCTGTATGTCTATCCCCATATATTAACTTTTGAGTGCCCGAACTAATCTTTATTAAAATTGGCATCTAAGCTCATCTCAACGGCGCAATTCATAAATCCCTTTGATCAGTAACACCAATATTACAGCCTCTCAAATTTCTGAGGCAAGACCTTAATATTGCTTTGATGCCTATGCCAAACTTCATGGAACTTGGTATGTATGTAATGCCACCTGTGGCCATCGGCTTACGTCATGAATCACTACCATATGTACAACATTGCAGCCTATCAGATTGTTGCGATAATAACCGTAGTGTCACTTAAATACCTGAACAGATCGTCATGGAATTTATCATGTGTATCATGACACTTGAGACCATGTCAGTAGTGTGCAGCATAAAACCCCTTCATCAGTAATACCAAAACTGTTGAAGGGCTAGTTCAATTAGCCCTGGGATCGGAGCGGGCCAAAAGGCTCAAGTCTTGTAGATGATGATAATGATGATGATGATGATATTTGAGGTCCTCACAGCAGTGAATATTATTACTACGATCTTTTGGGTCGAAACGCCGTGTAATTCCTCAGATACCAATATTTAGGAGAAACCTGCGTGTTTCATCTTCGAGGTATAAGATCTCAACCGAAAAAACTGGCCGAAACGACAAAACCTATAATTTATATTCCGGAGTGCTCGGTTCGAATCTTGGCTGGAGCACCGACTATCCTGACATATTTCATCAGGTTTCGTTGCCCCTTCAGACAAATTCCGTGATAAAATTTTGAATTAGGCCACTACCGCTCCCTTAGGCGGCCCATACACGTACGAGTCTGNTCATTAAATTCTTTTCTGATCCTAAAGGGGCCCATACACGTACGAGTCTGGCTCGGCGAGGAGCCGGGTTCGGATTAATTTCACCACATACGTGTGAGTGTGGCGACCCACACACGGACCAGTTTGGCTCATTAGAACCCGAGCCGAGTCGAACTCGCGAGCCAGACTCGTACGTGTATGGGCCTCCTTACACATCCTTTCAAATTCACTGTCCCACATGCAATCATTCGACGTCATACAATTTGAGATACAGCGTTGTTAAATAATTGTAAATAAGAACTCATTTTTTCTACATTGAAAATTGAGGCAGGACGTTTGTCCGAAACATTAGGCTAATACGTATGTACTAGAATACGTGGCATGGCATAACAGGAGACGTAATCGCAAATCAGCCAAACAAGTTCACTCTTAGGCACTTCAACTAACTTTGTCCAGTAGCGCACGTTTCAAATATCCATTTCACTGTGATTCTCCGATTTACTCTTCCCTGTGTCTCTTTCCTTCTGACTTTCCAACCAATATCCTATATACATTCCTCCTCTCCCCCCATTCGTTCTACATGCCCTGCCCATCTCATCCTCTTTGACTTGATCATTCTAATTATACTTGAAGAAGAGTACAAGTTATGAAGCTCCTCATTATGCAGTTTTCTCCAACCTCCTGTCACTTCATCTCTCTTCAGTCCAAATATTCTCCTCAACACCCTGTTCTCAAACACCCTCAGGGGTTAAAGTCTTAGATATATTTAACCACTTGCTACTAGCTGGACGTGCCCCTTTCCTACTCCCATCTCCTTGACGAGTCTCGCCACTTACCTACTATTATGATGGAAGTGACAGCCCACAGGACACTCAGGACAGCATAGCCCAACATTAGGTCGTGGGTGTAGTCCACGGGCCCGAACTTTTCTGGCCATTCTGGTAGCTTGAATGGTGTTGTGATTGGAAAAATCGTCGATGTGATCGGAAATGGCGTCGTTACGGCATTCTGAATTTTTTTTACGAAGTCTAAGTCATCAGGGACAGTAGCGCACTCTCTGTCTGAAACAAGAAAGGATGTTAGCGTTTCGAAGACATGTTGGTCTAAAGGTTCGGCCACACAGAGCGCTACGTACGCTATGTTCGTTATACGAACAGAAAAATATCTCTTTATTGCCAATGTGACTGGCCACACAGACTTCCGTACGCTACGTACGCTATGTTCCCTATGTTACCTGCGTCGCAGAGTGTACACAGCGTACGTAGCGTACGTAGCGAACATAGCGTAGCGCTCTTTGTGGCCGAACCTTAAGTCGGCTTCCGTATTATGATACAGGAGTGCAGCGCGTTTTATAAAGACCCTATTTAATAAAGTATGCATCTTTCTAACCTTACAAGCCACCGGCATCACCTTCTGTGTAGAACCTGCTGTAACATTAAAAATCTCTGTTTATGTGTTTCGTATGATCTACAGGATCTATCTATCTGGCTATCTATGGCTCTACAGCCCCTTATTGGACCTTGGCCGATTTTTCGGTTTCTTAATCCTATATAGAGTCCATAATAATCCTTGGACGTGCGATCAGCCCGTCGCAAGGCTGCTACCTACACACAGGACAGCACAAACACAGAATAAACAAACACAGATATCCATTCCTTGAGTGGGATTCGAACCCATGATCTCAGCTTTCGAGCGACCGAAGACAGTTCATGCCTTAGGGCGCGCGGTCACTGTGATCAGCGATTCATAGGATAAACTGCGATTATTTTCCTGGCAGCACTAATCCCTTGATATTTGCAATGGAGATGAAGATTGTTTTCCGTGAGGTAGGAACTGTATTTATAAATATTAGTTAGGCTAATTTCAGTCTCCGAAATGCTAAATGCTACCATTTTGTAAAACGCAATATAAATATAATCGTGTATCAAGCTTTTCATAAAAGGACAAAGTTGTCCCTGTGTTTAAATAACTAATTAAGCACTGCGCCATGAAGACGTATGGCGGAGTGGACGTATAGATCCACATTTTCTTGACCTCGGCACTAGTTGAAGGTGAGTTTTGTTTCAGTCTATTGTGTCTATTATGTGAATAGTAACACTATTTTGATGATGATGATGATGATGATGATATGTAAGGTGCAGTGTATCACATGAAGGAGATGGTTTGCGATTGATTATTTGCTTGTGTTATTCGTGGAAGATGGCGTTAGATGTCGGCCTCGAAGTACCATTCGATGAAATACAGGACTGGAAAGGAATACGGGATAAGGCAGGCAAAAGTAAAAGTACGGAAGCTTATGTAGTAAAATGATAAGGCTTCAACGGGTGTTACGTTGGTACTTACTGAAGAAGTAGATGAAGTACAGAAAGTACGCGGGGTTTGACTGTTCGTACGTGACCTCCAGTCCGCACGTGTAGAGAGACAGCCCAAGGAAGGCGAGAACGGCCCATGCGATGCTCTGCAGCTGAAAGCAGACACTTCATTAGTGTCATATCCATTGTTGCTAGTTTTTCTACCAACTACCAATATTACACTTTACAAATCACAGCAGCACACGCCAATCCTTCACAGTCTGCTGTGTCTTCACCAGTCGTTCCCTGGTAACGGCTACTAACAGCGGAGATTCTTCAGCTTCCACGCTCACTTCGTTGCCAACTGAACCGACTAAGTCTTCTCTTCACAGACTCTGTTACAAATGAATTAACTTCTAAACTTGTCCCACTGATAACCCCTTCGCACGGACCGCGCGGAAAACACCGTTTATTATACACTAGTCATTTCCGTGGGTACATGTTTGTTTTCGAAGGTGTTAGTCAGCAACGGCTGGATGTACTTGCTTATTAAGAGTGTGTTGCCTAGCAGCGGATGTTTCGTTGTTTGTTTCGAGGTCGTTATCCAGTAACGAGTCTACGCACTGCAGTATGATCAGCCTAGTTCCAATAATATGATCCCTTCACACAGGACCCCAAACACAAAATTGCAATTTTGTTGAGAGCGGTTGTTACGAGGAGCTCACTGAAACTACATAGATGCTAACTTCAGGGAGCGGACGTCACACCTCGTAACAGCCCACACGTTAATTCATGGAGGGAAGGGTATACGGGAAAGTGTGTGCTATTCCTCTTCACTACATATTGTTAGTGTCACGTCTCTTGCTGTTAGCAGCTCGCTGTTATATTGCTTGCTGCTAGCGCAATGTTCAGTGCCTCGATTTGTCACGCAAGAACACAGAATTCCCTACTCCGTGATCATCATATGCATGCAATATGATTCTGTAGCCGTACTGCTGATCTTAAATAGTCAAGAAGTCGATAAACACATTAGACGTGTAAGCATAATTTTATTAGAAATGTAAATTTTCGCAGATTTAGATTTATTATATCTTAGTAAATCTGAAAAAAAAGACAACTCCGTGGCCTGTAGTCCGCAAGCGAACTATACCGGCCGAGCGACCGCCACTTGTCGGCGAAGTTAGTGCCAACTTTTGTGGATAGAGGGTGTCTCATGGTCGGTGCAACGGATCCTCACGGCCGTTAATCGCAGTTTTCTAGACCGGAGCCGCTACTTCCTTGAAATAGCCCCTCACTTATCCTCACGAGGCTCAGTGGACCCCGTTCCAGACCCACTACTTCTCAGAAAAACTGGTGGCGCCGGGAATTGAACCCGGGACCTCTGGAACTGTAGCCAGGAACTCTGACCACTAGACCACAGAGGCGATCCTTCGTAAATCTGCATGAAAGAATTTTATTCATTTTCCAGTTGAGCTCTATTTGAAGACGTCTGGAGATTTAAGCTTGAAAGAATCGAAACGCTTAAAGATGCAGTAATTCTCATATCCCAGTCACCTGAACGGAGAAGTAGATGGATTTATTCACGCACATACATAGTATGAACATACCAGATACATAAGGAATTAAATGCAGGAGTAATTAGAGTAATATTTTACTATATGCAAGAATGATCGTGGGTTCGATTCCCACTCCGGGCATGGGTGTTTAATGTGTGTATGCGTTTATTCTGTGTTTGTGATGTCCTGTATTTAGGTAGCGACCTCGCGACGGGCTGATCACTCGCCCAAGGAGTCCTGCCGCCTGTGAAAAATGATTACGGAACTGAATAAGAGGCCTGCGCCCTGAATGGACTGGAAGAGCCATTGAAAAAATTTATATTCCCTCTTAATCCTACGAGTAGCGCACGATTGTCTGTGTGGCTGTACTCCCATTCCCTGATATAACTATGACCTCTATGACCAGAATCCTATGGTAGGCCATATTCCTCTCGGGTGGTAAGAAAATTAAGAACTACCAATAAAATTTAATGGATTATAATTACAAGTACCATTCCACTTCTCTGCCGAACAGTACGGGACTGAGAACAAAATTTCGGACCAGGAATATTAATCTTAAGCCGTTTCTCGCGCAAATATTTTAGTACGTATTCGCTGTATCAGTGGACCTAAGCGAGGCAAAGTGCGGACGCATTTTATGTGAATTTGAAATAGTGCCACACTAAAAGTGTTAATACAGTCTCACTTTATGCGCAAAGTTTTAAATAACGCGAATCCAAAAAAAAATTGGCAAAAATCACTTAACGTGTTTCATAAGTTATCCTGAATTATGCGAGGTCTTTAGGAACACATCCTCTCACAAAATGCGGCCGCATTGCATGGGATGGAGCCTGGATATTTATCAGCGTTGTTTGTCTGCTGAACGGGTTTTCGTGATTGGAGTTTTGGTCGTGACAGCTTCTGGCAATATTTGGTTATTTTATTAAGGAACTGTTATTTCTTAGTACTTGCAAATTAAAGACGTCATACATATTAGTATGTCCTGCATAATAATACATAATAAAGAGAAGAAATACACTAAATAAACAAGATTGTAAAAATATGCAGTGTACACCTTAACAGGTTCGTTCGGCATACGAACTTGTAGCTGATATGCCAACACCCCCATTCTCTAGCACTCATTGCAGTAAGCTCATAATTCTAACTATGTATGTGAATAAGCTTACATAAATATAGGTAGATGTAGAGGAAACTGTATGAAAGAATTATTTTCCCTTAAATTCTATTTCGTATGTTCACCTTGCCCATAGTCATATACAAAATTATAATTTTGCCTGTGGTTCTGAATGGGTGTGAAACTTGGTCTCTGACATTAAGGGAGGAACATAGACTGAGGATGTTTGAGAACAGGGTGTTGAGGAGAATATTTTGACCGAAGAGAGATGAAGTGACAGGAGGTTGGAGAAAATTGCATAATGAGGAGCTTCTTGTACTCTTCTCAAAATATAATTAGAGTGATCAAGCCAAGGAGGATGAGGTGGGCAGGGCATGTAGTACGAATGGGGGAGACGAGGAATGCATATAGGATATTGGTGGGAAAACTGGAAGGAAGGAGACCACTGGGAAGACCAAGGCGTAGGTGGGTGGACAGCATTAAAATGGATCTTAGAGAGATAGAGTGGGATGGTATGGATTGGATTGATCTGGCTCAGGATGGGAACCAGTGGAGAGCTCTTGTGAACATTGTAATGCACCTTCGTGTTCCATAAAATGCTGGGAAATTCTTGAGTAGATGCAGAGTTGGCTTCTGCTCAAGAAGGGCTCAGCTCCGTGAGTAAGTAAGTAAGTACTGTGTCCATAGTCACATTGCTGATTAGACTTCGACCCATTCTCTGACTCCTTGGCGTCATTCGGTACAGATGGAGCGTCGGCTCCGTGTGGAGTGTTTTAGACAAATGACTTCCCCCGCAGACCCTGAAGGCTACATCGCGTTGAGTAATGTCATATTTAACATGCGTTGTCGATAAGTCGAAATATTACCAAATCGTGAAAACGTATTTCAGTCTGATTCACTGGACGTCGAGGTCGAGTGATTCGCGGTCCTGCTTCATACTCGGAAGCTTCCGGATTCATATCTCGGTCCTGAGACCAGTTACCATGGCCGACATTGTTCATTGTTATCTCAGTGCTTCCACGCAAGTGCCGGGATAGTACGTCAACTTACGCGTCCTTCCCCATCCTTACCAGTTCATTCTACCATTAAACACTGTAGAGTCTGAGCTACTGATAGCGTTATTAACTTAGCCACAAATAACAAAGAGAGGAATTCGATCTATCGATGTAACCCAAAGTTTGTTGGAAGAAAATTGAGAGCAATTATTCGCAAGTTTTCGGAAGTACTGGGAAACCCGAATTCCCTCTATTAGACAGGGTAAGAGAGATGAAGACGGCGGTCTTCTAGGTTGTGATACCATCTAGTTTTGTGGGTGGATAGGTTTCGGAGGATCATGTTGCCACCATATGCAGGGTTCGAATTTGTAGGTTCAGAAATAGGCTTAGATATGTAACCAATTTACAAGTAAGGTGATCAGCAGGAAGGGGGAGGGCTGGTAAAGAAGGAGGGACTTTTCACTTCTCATGAGGAAAGAGAAATGTAAGTACCCAGGGCATGAATAATCCAGTTACAATGTGCTATATAATATTTAAGATTGAATTAATTTACTCAAACCACCTGCAATATGTTTAAAATGTTGTAATGTATTTTAGCGTCCTGTTGCACTGATTTTCATCCATGATATATACACAGTGTCCGTCTTGCAGTGCATCCACTTTCACCTGTCACTTCACAACATGTTTCGGCAACATAGTGCCATCATCAGGTGCTCCGTTTACACTAATCTATTGCATTGCATGCCATTACGTCAATGTAAAATTATTTAAAAAGTATTTTAAATATTCGTCAGTTATAATAAATTTATTGTATACTAAAATCTTGTTAAGATATTCATCTTATCTGTTCCAATTCAAAACCCGCGCATGGTTCCTCCACTATGGGAGTCGTTCCTCTTATATGGCGTGTGTGTCGTGTCTCGTGATGCGTGTTCCCTTTTTGGCTGCGGGTGTTGTGCTTACAACACCCGAAACATGTTGTGAAGTGACAGGTAAAAGCGGATGCACTGCAAGACGGACACTGTATATATATCATGGATTAAAATATTGTATTTGAAATTAAAACTTCCATTCTAATTAATTTATATGATTACGAAAATTTGTAATATAAATAATACAGCGTTTAGCACCTGATTTAGTTATGTATATTGCAATTAAAATCTGTAAACCGATTAAATGGTTCAATATTGATGTAACTTCTCTAATATATATATAATGAATTACACATTTGCTTACTTCCCTATGTAATGAGGCCTTCTTGTGAAGTGAAACCCTTTGGAACTACTCACCAGGCACCAAACACCCGCAAATATGACGGCACAGCGAGCTGAGCAGCACATATTTGATAGTCACTTGTTTCACTCTGNTTGTACTCTTCTCAAAATATAATTAGAGTGATCAAGCCAAGGAGGATGAGGTGGGCAGGGCATGTAGTACGAATGGGGGAGACGAGGAATGCATATAGGATATTGGTGGGAAAACTGGAAGGAAGGAGACCACTGGGAAGACCAAGGCGTAGGTGGGTGGACAGCATTAAAATGGATCTTAGAGAGATAGAGTGGGATGGTATGGATTGGATTGATCTGGCTCAGGATGGGAACCAGTGGAGAGCTCTTGTGAACATTGTAATGCACCTTCGTGTTCCATAAAATGCTGGGAAATTCTTGAGTAGATGCAGAGTTGGCTTCTGCTCAAGAAGGGCTCAGCTCCGTGAGTAAGTAAGTAAGTACTGTGTCCATAGTCACATTGCTGATTAGACTTCGACCCATTCTCTGACTCCTTGGCGTCATTCGGTACAGATGGAGCGTCGGCTCCGTGTGGAGTGTTTTAGACAAATGACTTCCCCCGCAGACCCTGAAGGCTACATCGCGTTGAGTAATGTCATAGTTAACATGCGTTGTCGATAAGTCGAAATATTACCAAATCGTGAAAACGTATTTCAGTCTGATTCACTGGACGTCGAGGTCGAGTGATTCGCGGTCCTGCTTCATACTCGGAAGCTTCCGGATTCATATCTCGGTCCTGAGACCAGTTACCATGGCCGACATTGTTCATTGTTATCTCAGTGCTTCCACGCAAGTGCCGGGATAGTACGTCAACTTACGCGTCCTTCCCCATCCTTACCAGTTCATTCTACCATTAAACACTGTAGAGTCTGAGCTACTGATAGCGTTATTAACTTAGCCACAAATAACAAAGAGAGGAATTCGATCTATCGATGTAACCCAAAGTTTGTTGGAAGCAACTTGAGAGCAATTATTCGCAAGTTTTCGGAAGTACTGGGAAACCCGAATTCCCTCTATTAGACAGGGTAAGAGAGATGAAGACGGCGGTCTTCTAGGTTGTGATACCATCTAGTTTTGTGGGTGGATAGGTTTCGGAGGATCATGTTGCCACCATATGCAGGGTTCGAATTTGTAGGTTCAGAAATAGGCTTAGATATGTAACCAATTTACAAGTAAGGTGATCAGCAGG